ACAGCCTGGCCTTCATGCCCGAAATTCCAGATGTAACTGCCCTGCATGGTGACGGTGAACCCGGCATTGACTTGGTGGGGCTACACACACACACACACACACACACAACCTCCCTCTTCGCTCGTCGCTGAAGCATATCACATAGCAAAACTTGAGAAGCCCTGACAAAATATGGCCTATAGGCTCCACGCCCCATGGGGACGGGCCTTCAGCCACTGAGGGGTTAATCTCTGCTCTCTGACCTTCTGCGCCTCCCTCTTTCTTGGAAAACATTTCGGGGGTCACACATGTCCTATGGGTGACCAGATAGCTGCCTTTAAAAAAAAAGAAGCTTTACCCTCAACAGCACACTGCAACCAAATAGTTATGTAATTCCCCCATGGCAGATGCCTATCTGACCCAGCAGATAGATCCCTGCCAAGGTTTACATAACAAATGGCAAACAGGGCAATACAGTAGCAGGATGGAAACGTAGCTTCTAAATATGAAGACCTGTTACTATAACTGTACCATAACATAACTGTGAATGCTTCTCATTGTTTCTTGACAGTCGAGGTTATGTGTTCAGCAGAGGTCTTCACACTTGTCCACACAGCATTATGGTTAAATAGTTTGTTTACATCCAGCTCCTTGTCCTATAACTGGGTTAGCTGCCATACAGTAAACTGCCTTATGTAATTCATCATTCTCAGAGCGTAAACTGGTTGCATCACTCAAAATAGGCTACTGTGTTTCCAGACAAACCGGTTACAACGTTACTGTTTGCTCTAATTCCAGCCATGTGACTGGGACTGGGAATATTGTGCACATAACTCATCCAATGCGTCGAGTAAAAAAAAAAGACAAAGGACATGCATTTTAGATGCGATTTCAATCAAAGCCCCACAATCTTATTTGTCTATTAAATATCTGTGCATAAGTGCAAGATGTCACGTTTGGTCAATTTATGAGATAATTATGTGTAGGTCACGAAACCCCACGCTGCTTAAAAAGATTAATGATCTGAAATACCTCCCTGATGTGATTTCTTCCTAATTTGCTGTACGTTCTCAGACTGATCTGCAATTTCCATTAGAATGATAATGAGAGCGAGAGGTATAATGAGTGCCAGACGCTCGTAAAAACGTAATGGTTCAAATGTGTGCGTGTGCGTGTGAATGTGTGTGTACCTCTGTAAGTTTTACAAGCAGCATGCGTTTTGTTTTTGTTTTGATGGAGGAAGGAGGGGGGGGGGGGGGGCTTTGTGGGTGAGTGGGAAGATTCTTACCTTCCATCCTGCAGAGCTGTTGCTGTCGCCTTTGTCTTTGAAGTAGGGTATGGATCTCACCATCCAGTCATAAATTTGAGACAGTGTCAGCCTCTTGTCCGGTGTGCTCTCAATGGCTTTGGTTATCAGGTCTGCGTAGGAGAGGTTACCCCAGGCGTTACGGCGAGATGATGCTTTCCTCGGGGTCTGCTGAGCAGCCAGGCCGCTGGGATTCAGTGCGCCAGAGGTGGCCGTCGGGGAGTGCGAGGAGTGCGGGGAGCCTCCACTCTCCTGGCCGGAGGAGGACAGCCCTCCATCGGCCACGGGGCTGCTGCTGCCCTGGTCCTCTGTTGCCAAGCCAGAGCCATCGTTAGCCGTAGTGGTGGCGTTATCATCCTCATCATCCTCCTCCTCAGGTATAATATCTGTGTCATTATTATCTGGTTTCACCGCGTTAGAGTCTGGTCGAGGTAGCGGCCAGGTGCAAGATCTGGGCCGCTTCTGGGGCTCGAAGTCCGGATCAATGATCACTTCCAGGTCCGGGTGTGTGTCGGGGAACGAAGCCTCAGCCATTATCTCCCGCTCCGGTCACAATGTAGCCCCCGATGCCAGGTAGTAAAGTTACAAGACAAGAAATGAGGAGCTGTCAAAGTCGCGTCCCATGAATGCGCGCTCCCTTCCTTTGTTGCTATTCCACACCAGCGAAGTCCCACCAGGGCCACGAGCAACTTAGTTATTAGCGCCTGTTGAGGACATGGAGACAGAAAATAAAGCCAACACACTCGGTTAGAGTCGAATGAAAACACAACCTAACAGATGCGATGCAGCGCCTGATTGTGTAGGTTTATTCTATTTATGTCAATCAAGCTATACTCTAAACGAAAAATAGCAACACATGTTTAAATCCTCGCCTATCTGAGCTGGTCTTCATTCTAAAACACTACTTGCTCATCTACACCAAATCCCGTCCTGGTGCACGGCTCTTAATCCTCCCACCGTAAATAAATGGCTGAGGAGAAAGTGCGTAATAAATCCGCTCTCAACACTTTAAATGAAATACCTTGCACCGCCAGTCACTCGCGCTGTGGTTTCCAGAAAAAAAATCCCTCCGAAGCGACTAGATCCCGGATTGTCCACGGCCACTTCCAGATGCCATCTTGACTCTATTCCTCTTTCACTCGTCAAGTGCGTTTGCGATATCGATAGGATGGATGTCGATGTGGAATAAGACTGCCACCTCACTCCGGGTTACTACTGTATCTCGATTTGCTCTCCACACTGCGCTGCACACACACGTTCTCTACACACATACACACACTTACGTACATACACAGACTCGCGCATGCAAGTCGATCGAGGGCCAGCCCCCTGGATCCTGTGCATGGGATCGCCTTTTAAAGAGACACTGCAGTCCAACAGGACGGAGCTGTGTGTGCGCAGGTTGAGGCTGGGACACGTCCTGACATGTTAGAGACAGGCACAGAAATATACAGAAATGTATAGAGGCACACAGCTGAAGAAAGTAGGGACTATTAAAGTCCACTTGCATCAATTATATAAATAGATTTACTGTCAAAGCAAGATCAGATGGGGGTTTACATGTCTTACTTTTGCTTCTGGTGTAACTGGACAAGCATGCTACAGGTTTTTAATTTGTTAGAAATCATTCATTTTGATTCAAAGAAAAGGCTGTGACTGTCTCAATAAAAACGATGAACAAAATAATTACAGAATATTATCGCAGCAGCAGTCCAATATGAAAAGCTATTTAGTTTATTATCATAGAAAAGAGAGGTATGCTTAATAAAGTGCTTTTCAGGTTCAATCAATGATGTCATCTGAGTAATTCAACCCCTTGTTTACATATTATTAATATGCAGTCATTCAATAAGAGATGAAACATAATATAAACAGTAACTTATATTTCAAATATAACAATACAATATCATGTTTCCTAGAGTCATGTGACTTTTGGTCTCTTTGTACACATTTTTTGTAAGTAGTGTTGTGAGCTATTTGTATTTGGTATGTCGTACAAAATGAAGCTTATATTATATTACATTATTGTTATTGACATGATGGTGCTTAATGATAAAGACATTTAAAACCCATTATCACGTGCTCGGATTTGAAGCTTAAACATCATATTTTGTATTCTCATCCCCCTCGTTGTTGCTAGATCATAATGGATGATGGTGCCTTTAATCAGCGGACCTCAGATTGTCAATCACGTGTGTCACGGCGCTCAGGCCACGCCCCTTTCTGGCGCCTGTTCCACATCCTTTAGCATGACGTCATGTCGTTTATTAGCCAGAGATAAGGGGAGAAATCCTAGATTGCTCTCCATCCTGTAAACGATGCTCTGGACCTCCTTCCCCCTCCTTCTCTTGCTCTTTCCCCCCCACCTCCTCCTCCGGATCAAAACAGCCTCGTCCACGGCTTCTTTGTTCCGAGTGCTGCCTGCCTTGCAAGGTGCGCGTCCATCTGCGCGTACTCGCGGTTTCTGTGCAGGAATGCGCGTTCACAGCTGACCATAACAAGATACCCTTTCAATATAACTGCATGGATTTATTGTGTCTATATGGCACTTGGATGGAATCTTGGATGGTATCTTTTTATTTGACATTACAATAATGTTTTATTATTTTAGGACATTATACTGTTATTGTTTTTGGCATGAATTAAATCTCCTGTATTGTATTCCTTGCACATCTGTAAATATGTTTATGCCCCTTTTTCCTATCTTTTTTGGGAGATCTTCATCACATTATTCACAGACACCAAGCTGTCACATTTGCCCTCTAAAAAGGTCAGACCTTATTGTTTAACCGTGTTCATTGACACACATTTAACCGAGCAGATGTGTACGCTCATTTACAACAGCAGTCTGGAGTCTGTACTGTACAGGATTATAGGCGGATAGTCAGTACACGTACCACATATTGTGTGATGCTTTTTTTGTTCCCTTCACATCAAAGAGAATACCTGATGCAGCAGTTTGGCTCCCGCAGAGAACTATAGAGTTAACTGCACACTGGATGTACAGACAGAGGTTAGGGTGTCTGAGTGTGTGTGTGTGTGTCTGTGTTTGTGCAGATCTACTGTTTAAAGCCAACTGTATTAGACTGGGATATGTTTCTTCCTTTAAATCACACTATTTTGTGCTTCTACTAACATATTTGAATTCAGTTTATTCCCAATACATTGAAAGATAATTTTAAGTGTATACAATATTGGTCTACATTGATGATTATTCAGTAAAGTATTGCATTTGTTTCCTTTTGAACCAAATATGAAATGACCTGCCAAGGTTGAAACCATCTTCAATCCTTTTATGACTAAGCCATGTAACAGCTTTAAAAAAAAAAAGCTTCTTTTTTTTAACGGTTTTAACCCCGTTTCCTTTCGAGAACCAGCATTTGATTATTGGCTTCATCTTTTTGAGCACAGCAATATCTTTCTGAACCCTATCGATGGTTTTAAGGTTACTTTAAAGAGACCACAACACTGACTTTCATTTGCTTTTCCACCACAGACATTGGGAACTGAAATGCACCTGCTGTACGGCATGTGCAACAGTATAAGTGTCAGATGTGTCCCCTCAGTACCCTGCTGCAGTATCTCTGGCATTTGGCCAATATGTTCTCTGACAAGATAAGAACGCTTCCCCCTACATGCCCCTTTGAGTTTCCATAGTGTTGGGCAAGAACACATTCATGCACCCAAGCAAACAAATAAACACGCAATCCCAAAACATTATTACTCTTTCTCTTTACCAAAGACACATTTAACCAAGTAAGAGCAAGCAGCCATTAGAAAACATGACATAAGTCATTTACTAGTTTTGTAAACTGTGCTATCAAATACAATTCTTACAATCTTATCAACATTTAAGGCACGTTTTAGGACATCCTGTGATGTATCCTAAGCCCCCTAATTTAATGTAAAACCAGAAGATCAATTATTGGTATTTTCTATACATTTTTGTTTCATTTTGTACTAATAAGACAAAGAGAAAGAGACAAAAGGTGAAGTGTGTTCCATCTTCCCTCCATCAGCATGGGGTATCAATACATTGGTCCAGATGGATGGAGACTGCGACCCCTCTAAGCCGGCGTGATTTATCCAATTAAGACAATCACAAAGCGCGCGGCGGCCATCTCTGTTTGTGTCTGATGTTTCCCCCTAACAGCGTAATGCTCTGATTGGATTAGGGGCCTTGGCATGGGCGTGATTGATTTTTCTTTAATTGAGAGTTATGGTGGGAGAGCCTTGCTACAGACTCAAGTGCTTTTTATTGACACACGTCATGTGCATGCACCCCTGCACACACCTGCAGACACACAGCCATCAACCCCCACCATTATATATAAAGATTTTATAAATACTTTAGTGTTTTTGCACATTTGCTGCCTGGTACAAATGCAGTATCTGGCATAATGCTCTTGTTCTGGATACTGTAGGTGCTGCTCACTGTTCTGACTGTATTGTCAGGATGGGCTGGTCCAGGCTGGAGTGGTGCACTAGAATGACCTCATCTTTACATGGACGCAATAACAAACCATGTTGTGATTGGTTGCCCTCTGCTGCCACCTAAAGGCATACAGAAAGAAGTTAAAAAATATCACAGTTAAAAAAAATCTTTAAATGAGGATACAGTTTTAATGTTTAATCTGCTCATTTTGGAAGGCAAGATGTCAGTTTCAATGTTGGTGCAAGAGGGCTTCTAGGGAAATCAATGTACCTTTTAAAATTGTGCAATATAATATATGTTTTGCAGGACTGAAGCGTTTTCTTGGCATCTCATAAACAAAGTAAGGAGGATGCTAAGATGCAAAAACTATACATTTTATCAAATGAACAAAAAACTAATGTGAATGAAATGTCACTTTGCAACTTACTTAAGGTTTCTGTGTCTTTCCTTTGTGAATTTTTCTGGTGTCAGTGTGAAGTCAGATCTGATTTTTTTTAATCACACCTGCATGACATTATTTCTGAAGAAATCTGGACTGAAGAATGCAAATTGTCTGAGATTACAATTTGAATAACGCAGTAGTTGTGTATGCTATTTCCCTTTAAGAACAATTCCCCCTTCCAAGCTGCACAGTGTTAGTAATAGCAACTGTAGTCAAACATCTTGCTAACAGGAGGCCAAATTAAGACTAGTTCTAGTTTAACTGCAAAGCTCTTGATATTCATTGATATAATACATAGATCAATATCATTCATACCATTTTAAATTCAAAAGCCAGAGACTGTGTATTTAACCTTTTTTCAACTTTGTCCACGAGAGGGCGGCAGCCACCTAGTCTGAGGGACTCCTCTCTGGAGTGTTTGCCTTGTGGTTCTCACATGTTGGAGGTGTAAATATGTTTTAATAGAATCTTCCACAAGGGGGAGAGAGCACACCTCTCAGCACAGGAAAAAGGTTCAACGCACAGAGTGGACGTCAGATCCAAAATCAGAAACCAGAATCTAGTGTGTGGTGTCGTTAGTTAGTGAGGTACTTTGTCGTCTGGAGGTATGTATGACACCTATGAGGCAGTCAGCAGGATGTGAGATGTTCATGTTTCCTTGCTGCGACTGCGATCTCCGTTTATCCAGTATGACTCCGTCTGCATCTCCATCAGTCTGGAGACGGTCCTCTGAAAGGCAAAGATCTCCTCCTCAGCCGTGAACAGAGTCAGGTTCTCCGCTGCCTTCTGAAGAGAGGACACAACACTAGAGTTAGCGGCTGACATACTTCAATACAATTTGTATTCAAACATATTTTGGCTAGAGGAGAAGTTTAAGCAGCAGGATTAAGAAAATGAAATTGCCTGTTTCATTCTTAAACATGCAGGATTAGTATGAGTGAGAGCAAAATCCTCTTTTCAAAATTGCCTTGTTGACATTAACATAGTCTCAGTTCAATTTTAATGAAAATGTAATACTTTTATAAGCAGCCATTAAAAATAGGTAAAGGAAACCTGTGTTTTGGATGAAAAACTTCCCTTACTATTAACACCGCTACAATGATGTACAATGTACATGCACCCACTAATACACTATTGACTAACAAACAACCCACTGGTTGTTATTCTCATGAAAGTGCAGCTCACTGTGAGGTGAACCACTATAAAGAGAAATCAGTAGTGTGATTTTTTTAATTTGAAACTGCATTTATTGCATATAGAAGATGAGGGTTTTCCTGCCAGTTTAACTTGTTGTGTTGTGTTGTGTTGTAGCACATGTGATTTACCCCACTGAGACCCAGGTCATCCAGCAGTTGTCTGTCCCTCTCATCGTCCCCTCCTGTGTGGACGAACATCTGCTCTAAAGGAGTAGCAGCCAGCAGCACCACTCTCACCTGGGACACAGAGGGGGGGAAACCATTCAATCATTATTTCCTTAAAATGGTATTATATCTTTGGTCACTTTGACGTTCCCCTGAGTCAAGTGTATATTGACTCTTTTTATAGATTGAAATTTCCTCTTCGACGCTATGATGAATTTATTAATAAAATGGCAGTTCATGGGAAGTGAGCCAATATAAGGTCGACACTTGTGGTCTTTTAGTGGTACGATAATATAGTAATATTACTTTTTGCAGAAGAGTATTGGTTTACTATTTAATTTCAGTGGTCTATTCTGTCATGAAACATATTTTTTTTGTTTCTGGGGGGGGCATTCAATGCGTTTGTTCTACAATTAACATTAAAGAAGGGAAGAGAGAGAGATAGGGGGTGACATACAAAAAAGCCAAAAGCTGGACATAAACTGTTCAGCGTTTTACTCCTTGGCCAAAAAGGCAGATTTTAACCTTTTTTATGTGAAATTACATTTGTATTTTTATCTCTTATCACCCAATTTAAGTTAGGACAGATTGATGGAGCACCTTGTTGTCGTAGAAGTTGTCTATGAGGGTGGTGAAGCGTCTGGCTTGGTCCTTCAGGGCGAGTGTCAGCACGGGAACATGGCGAATGAATACGGTGTCAAAGAACCGAGCCATTTCCAGGTAGTCACTGGCACCCAGAGGCTGAGGAGAAAACACGTTAGCAGGTTAAATTAGCTGCACATCACATGCGGAGAATAGTTTCACTGTGTCCTTGTAAACACAAACACGCACTAGGAACGCTGTGGTGTGCGTGTTTGCCCTGAAGTGCAAACGGAGCGCTAGGGGCACCTTGTGCAAAGAGCTCGGGCTGATGTTCAGTCCCTGTCCTTGGTTCTTTGCCATTCACGATGATTGCTCTCAAAATTAATGTGCACGTGCCAAGCATATGTCAGATAGAAGAAGAAGCCTTGAAGCTCAGATGCCTGCAAAAGCTCACCGCTGTCCATCAGGCTTGAGACTTCACACACACACACAATGAACATTACTGTACCCCACTGCTTTATTTGAGGCACAACAAGCTCAACTATTCACTAAATCGTCAATAGACTTGCTTTATGACATTGAGCAGAAAATAGGACTGAGATGGAGGGAAGGTGATTCATTTTTAGTGCAAAGGTTTGGACAATAAGTACACAGAGGAGGGAAGAAACAGAGTGCAGAGGCAATAAAGAGGAAAGAGAGGTGCTTTCAATTTGAGCAGTTTTGATTAGTGGTGAGTGTGCTTTTCTTTTAATGTTCTTTGTACACACTTAAAGAAACCGATCTAGCTGAATATGGCCTGCAGCATTTACTGTTATTGTTGAACTTTTGAAACCATCGTTTTTCAGAATGTTGGCAATGAGGCAAATTAAGATTTGTTGAGAAAACTTTTATACACTCACTCTGCCACACAGCTCATCAAAAGTACAGTCAGCGATGGAGCCACAGGTCTTTTCCAACACCACGTCTCTTCCCAGCACTGTGAGCAGCCGAGGGCCCGTAACTAAAGAAACACACACACACAAATAATCTTGATCCTCATGTCATACAGTTTTTATCATCACTTTTACAATTGAATCAATATATTAAAAGTTGATCTTAGACCTTAGAAGTCAGAAGTCACCTTAGTTATTTATGTCCAAAACAGATGTGTATACAACGTATCTACACACATGTTATTTGGATAAAGAGTTTCAGATATATATTTACACAACACAGTCAATTTCTAAATAGAAATGACCCTAGAAAACCTTAAAATGAAAGCGTAAAACTAACCCGGTGGCTGATAGGAAACAGTTCAGCAAAACTATAAACACTTGTCAAACCATGATCCAATATTTTAAAACTTCTAAAACTGAACGCATAGTCAAATGTTATCTTTTCTGATCTTTAGTTTAGTTTGAAAGCTAAACCCTAGTGTTTTGGTACATTTCTGCACATAATACCTGCCTGGGCTAAACACCCATCAATACATGCACTATTTTCTCCATTTACAGGAAGGGGAAGGTATTAAGAAATAAGCTATCAAATTGTAAGGTTTGGACTTTTCATTGGATATGTGTACACAAATATCACATATTGTCAACGTTATCCGTAATGTGTGAACAAAGCAACAATCTTAACACAGTGGGTAAATATGCTGTTGCACAACAAACACAATAACATGAACTCTCATCGGCTTAAACAATGAAAAGCTTGATATTTAATATTTATTGTATTTAGCCATTTGTCTGCTATCACATCATGCTGCATCAGATTAAATGTTTTCCTAGGGCAAGCAGTAGATCAAAATGTTGATGTCACGTTATGAAAATGGAGCGAATCTCATCGAAAGTTGATGTTTTTTTTATGTTCCCTTACCACTCTTTTGACTTAAGGCCAGCTCCTCAAAAAGCGTATCCAAGGAGGCCTCTGCACCAGGCGCCGCTGTGCTAAAAGAGAGAGACACACACAAAAAGCATATATGAAATGAATAATGCTGAAATGGCCACATCAAACGATTGGCAGCCAGGAGTGCATGGGAGGGGGTGGTACTTAGCTTTTCACTCCATCAGTAAAAAACAGGATGTTAGGCTCTAAACACGAGCATTAGCCTGTGAATGCACATCAAAATGAGATTTTAAAGTGTGTGTGTTTGTCTGTGTGTGTGCTTGTGTTTTAACTCCTGGTAAAAGGGTGCGATGAGTCTATTTACATACAGTGAAAAGACGAAAGCACTTGAAAGCTCCAATACGGCGATGAGCAACAGCAGTGTCATTCATACCTTGTTTGTGTGCATGTGTGTGTTCCTAACAGCGTATATGTAATGAGGGAAATAGAAAACTAGCTTATAAAGCTCTTCCATTTTGTCATACTCTATTGATTCCTCTTTTATTCTTTTCATGGATCTCTCAAGGTAATGTAGGTCTTTATAAATCTCACAGTCTGCTTCCCCATTTATCCATCTGTTTGCCTTCTCTTTCTGTCCTTTAAAAATACAAATCAATCCAGATGATGTGCAAAAACATTTCCTGTAATAGTGTGAACGCTTGTGTGCATGTTGTCAATGCAGATTAATGTTGACTTTACCAGACTTCTTCTAAAACATCCGCGCTGAGTCGGACTACAAACTTGAAACAAATATGTCCATTAGATATTAGATTGTGTGTGTGTGTGTGTGTCTTACAGGTAGTACAGATTTCCGGCTGCAGCTTTGTCCAGCCTCCTGTAGTCAATCCCAGAGTCAAGACAGATGGTTTGGCAGAACTCCTACACACACACACACACACACACACACACACACACACACACACACACACACACACACACACACACACACACACACACACACACACACACACACACACACACACACACACACACACACACACACACACACACACACACACACACACACACACACACACACACACACACACACACACACACACATATTAACAATAGGCTCAAATGTGTTTTAAAGCAATGCAGAAGGAAAAAAATCTGTATTGTAAATGTTGTTAATAATTATATATTTAGGTTAGGGTTGTACTTGTATCTACCTTAATTTGCAAACTGATGTTTTGTTATTCAAGCAGTTCAATCACATTTTCAAATGTTTACGAGTAGTTTATTTAGGATAAGGTTAGAGATACTGAATTGTGTATATGTCTTGTGCTTTTTCAGTCCACATATTTTTCAGCATTCTGGGCAATACTCTATTCCTCAGATACACTGAAGTCTGTTTGCACCTAATGAAGGACTTTAACTGGTGCAAAAGTGTGGCTTGTAGATTTTCAAATAACACATATAGGGCTGTTGTTCACAGAGACAATATTTGTAGATAGGGTCAGTTCATTTTTCTTTTTCTTTGAATAGGGGTGAGGGGATACCCGGAAAATGTTTTTGCAAAACCACCATCTTCTCTTTCAAATAGATCATATTAAGTCACAACTGTGAAACATCAGATTTGACGTATCATATTTCCCTAAAATGTCATTTTTCAAGAACATTTTAAAAGGTTTTTTTGATTGGTTAATTAGTTTGTAAGGTTTTGCCGTCTCATTGCAGACATTACATTTATTTATTTTTTGTCTTTAATGACTTATATTGATACAGTATATATTTGAAAACATTGCAGTCTCAGTCAATAACATGTGTAAACCCAATAAATAAAAATACACCCCTTCTAAATGGATTAATAGGCAATAATAAATTGATCGCCAGACTTATTGTTTCAAATTGATTTAAAATATGGGTCTGGACGTATTTAATCAGTGGCACATAGAAGTTACAAGAGAAATATTGATATATGGAAAGTTTAAAATGTGCAGCATATAAATCAAATAACTCTTATAGGCTTTCACAGTAGATACTATCTATTAGTTTAGATTGATCATCTCGGGGGAATTAATTTAGATAACGTGTTTTATTATTGTGTTTCTACATGATAAATCATTTTTGTCCTTACCATGAAATACTTTAGTATATGCCAACATTATAAAACGCTTCTCTACTGCTCATCCCTCATGTGGCAAAGAGCAAATCAAAAAACAAGTGAATAAATTCAATACAGAAGGCAGGAGACATCTTTCTCTCCTCTGACAGCGCCGGGATTTTGAGGCACTTCTTTATGGTTTATTGAGTCGATCTATTGTTCCTGCAGCTATTCAAGTGTGTTAAAGCAGGGGTGAACTTTTGATGCAGAGTTCAAACTTTTCCAGATAGTGTAAAACGTCAACAGGATTCATGTCAGGGAGTGCACCACAAACTATAATCATCATCTCCACCATTCTATCAAAGAAGAGAAAGGAATTGCATATCATCCCATCCGAGGCAGCGCCGGCGGCTGACAGAGTAGTCGACGACAGCTCCGGTAAATTATGAAATCAGTGAATTTCTGCCACTGGCCTCCTTAAGCTGCAGGATAATTAGTAATCATCACAAAGCAAGGGGACGGAAATACTCTATTCTTCTCCGCTGTCAACTTTTTATCTCCATGTCCGCTCACACAAACGGGGTTCCCACTCTGAGCCAATTGGCTGAATCAGGCTTAATAACAACCTGACAAACTCGCCCTCCCCCACACACAAAAGGGAGGTGTCATTTCATCAACCTACTGTGACCCCACCAACGGGTAAATAGTCCCTCCAAAATGGGAAAAAAAGAAGGAAAACTTGTCACTATCGCCGCCACATCATTAGAGTCTCAGTTTGTCTTTTCTCCTGCCATCTTCTACTCCCTCTCTTTATCAAGCGTCCCTACCTGCGGTAAAGGCGGCCGACGCGTTTCTTGACGGAGAAGCGATGGTACAAATAGGAGAGAGGAGAGCAGGAGGAATGAAAACACAATCAGTGGTGATGATTCCATTGGTTATTTATAATCAGATAAGGCTGAGGCCTCGCGGGTCATTACTTGATTATCCATCTTGAGGGGATTGTCAAGTTCTCACTCCTCCGAGATTTTATCCGCCTACCACACATTGTGGTTTCCCCCCCCCCACCACCACCGCCACCGCCACGCTTCTCTCTGTCTTCTTGGAAACTTAAAGTCTCATCTCCAAATGGCCTTTTAGCTTATTCTGTTTATTGTTCTCTAAGGCTGAACAACAACCATCTGATGTATAAACTCTGATAAACACCTGCCAGCTACACTCAATTGTCAATTGTAATGTTTAAACACTTAAGCAATAAATAGATTAGTAGATAGAACATTTTGATAATCAATTGAGCATAAATAAACATGAGAAATTGCTGTGTTTCTCTGTTTTAGATTGGTGGGAATTTAGTTAGAGGTAGTTCACCTTGGGCTCTGGGACATATTTGACAGTATGATTTTAAATGGTATACGCTAATCAATTGGTCTATAAATAAGAAATGAAGGAACAGCTTAATAATAACAGATGAGGTCAAATGGTCCTGGGCCCTTTGGAAACGTGCAGTGGAAACTATTCACTGAATTCAGATTGTCAAATGGGAAAGTTTGATGCTTTTATCTGCTTTATAAGATTGTATATTGATTATATTTGCGATTTTGGAGGGAGGAGAAGCAATGCTGTGCACAAGGTATCTTCAGTTTCTACAAAATATATTTATGTTTTAAATTGTTGTTTGGACAATACTATCAGATCTAGAAAACTGTGAGGAGTATTTCTGTAATATGTTTTAACTTGTTATTAACATGAATCCAGTGATTAAAACACAATAATTGTCTGATTTAATTGATAGGTAAAATAATCCGAAGTTCCTAGTTTCTTTGTCACCATGCCACATTATCAGCTTTTTGTACTTGTGGTGTGAAACTGCTCCTATGTGTGTAGCTGACTCACAGAGGAGCAGCATGGAAGCAAATTAAAAGTCTCACTACTTTGCAGGGATGCATTCAGGAACTCACAGACACAAGAGGGGAGGGGAAAGAGAGAGAGAGAGATGACAGACATGAGAATCAGAGTCTCTTTAGAAGAAAGTCATCCAAACACATGTAGCTCCAATCATGTCATTGTCCAAGCTGTCCACGGCTCTCTCTGGACAGCCGTTTAGCATAAAAACAGAGTGGCTTTTTTTTTTTATCTTCACTGCCTCCGCGACATATCTTTCTCTATCCTTTACTCCTCAAAAAGTTGCTTTTGAGTTTTTCAAAGAGCGCGGTGCCATTGAGCTGCAACAAAAGCCAAGGATAGCTGACTATTGGGCCCTGATGAGGTCCACTCCCTCATTACCCGGCAGCAGAAAACATTTGATGCTTTTTTTGTGTGGCCCGGAGAATTGACCAGGCCTCAAAGAAATGCGGGGTGGGAAGGCTGAAAAAGAGACGAAGGGGGGAGAGAGGGAGAGGGGGAGGAGGGGAAAGGTTGTCGTTCATTCAACCATGTGTGTCTTACAGCCTTGTGTGGAGGGACAGAAGAAAAGGAGGGAGGGAAAGAGGGGTCGAGAGAGAGAGAGAGAGAGAGAGAGACCGGGGGGAGAAAAGAGAGAAAGCTTAAAACACTGCCTTTATGCTGGCAAGTTCTGGACGACTCTTCTGACATCAAAGTGTTTTCACTAACTGGGGATCTGCTGTGTGTGTGAGTGAGTGCGTGGGGGGTGTAGCTGGTGATTTTATTCATTCTTGGGCAGTCGGGGGGGGGTACGTGACAATGTGAACACCCTAATTACACCTAATGATCTATTCCCTTAAAGTGTGACCGCCTTGGGCCAGCGATGGTTTGTTCCGAGGGGTCGTTCTCACAACCTCCCCCTGCCTCGGCTGCTCCTCTTGGGGAAACATCTATTGAGTCGGAGGCCCCACCTTTCGTGATCCAGCACCCCACTGGACCCCCCACCCTCAACCCCCTCTCGAGCTCTGATGAGGCCCAAAAACCCTGAACCGCCCCCCAAAAACTCGCTGCTCTACCTGCACCTGGCCGGCAGAGGCTCCACATGTTGGGAGGAACACTCGGACAGAAGAAATGCAGATGAGCAAATCGCTAAGATACTAAAGTCTCTGCACAAACTATTTAACAGATGTTGAAATACAGCTACTACTTAAATTCTACCATTGTCCAATTATAATTGCAGACATTTACTGTAAAGGAGTACTTAGCAATTCCCTCCTATAACATAGAATGACTCATTATTGACGTTTAAAAGTTGTGGGACAGTATTATCTCCTTTCCTTTGGTAAAGTATGGTGACAAGGAGACAATAACAATATCCCCATAGATATCACCTTTTTTTTTTAAATAAGAGAATTCGACTAGCTGCTACTTAACACATTTTACTCATTTAAGAACTTCCCTAAGCAACACAAGACAATTCTTTATCCTTGTCAAAGCCTGGTGCCTACATTACCCACAATGCAACTCCACTGCCAACAGTTCTTTCAGGGATAGTTTTATGGATAATGTATACTATAGTCATATATTTGTTCTTCTTTTTAGTATTACTGTGTTATTTGAAGCCCTTTGACCTTCCCTTAAAGCACCAGCAATCTTACTCTGAGATATAAAACCTGTTTTTGCTCAGATAAGTCCTTTTATCTTTATAATAAGGGTGTTTTAAAACACATTTAGTAACATAACATGTACAAAATTGCCATCTTTGCAGCTGCTTGATGTTACAAATGTGAAAACGCAGCAGAGTCAATTGGGTTGATAAGAGTGCAACGGAGACACAAAGCATAAGTCAAATAATTTCATGCATGTTACTGAAGTTAAGAGGAGAGCAACATGTTTGTATTAAGCGATTCATTCAGATTGCAGGTGGCCTGCTTTCCAAATAAACAAATAGAGTAAAGGAAAATACACCTGTGTGCGTGCATGCGTGATCAAGCGCATCTGACACGTGCGGGAAAACATCCGTCAGCAGCAGAAAATAGGCAAAGGTTCCTGGATCGATTCAAAATGAAGTGATAAATACAGAGCCAGAATCAATTCCTCACGTTCGAAAGGAGGAAAAATCAATTTGTTCTTTATTAATCGTTTGGTTTTGTAGGTGCGAGACACTGATATAAAAGAAGTGAGGTACGCCCTCGAGGCACACAGTGAGTGGCATTGCCCTGCCATTAAATGCTCTGGAAGACAATGAGAGTCATCAAATATCAACATCCATTTGATTTGAACTGGCAGGCTGCCAGCTCTTCAAAGGCAGTCCTTCTCACCAAGGTCTTCACTGGAGGACCACATCCCTCTCATTCCTCAATTTTCCTTTCTCTACCATCCTGTTTTATTTATATATTTCTTTTTCTCTCATCGCCAACTGCACATCCCATAGCAATTATTAACAATGACACACAAAAAGAGAAGGAGAGTGGATCAAAAGAAGGGTTAAAAACAGCAGGAAACTCAGAGATACTCAAAGTTGCCTCAGGGTTGTTGTCATGTTTCCCCCCCCCCTCTCTGCAGCATTGTGTACGCAACTGCAATCGAACAAGCGGAAGGAAAATAAAGTCACTATTCTGCTACCAAAATACAGAGACCTGACCTTGGGTGAGTAAAGCCAGCGAGCAGAGCAGGATAGTAATAGAATAAAGAGCGGGGATAGAGGGGTGGAGAGAGGATGGGCGATGGAAAGTGGAGTGGAGAGGGAGGACAGTTTGTGAGAGAGAAAGAGTGTCTTCGTTACAATACTGGCAGTGTCCATTAAAAAAAAGCCCTTAAACCCTGTATTTTACAGAACTCAGAGCTGTGCCATGGCTACAAAGAAAAAGAAGCCTTACCAACTGAAGAGCTTTCCTGATGGAGTCCACAGAAGAGAACAAGAAATAACAAATGACTGAAAATATAGGAAAGACAGAGACTTTTAGGATAACTGAAGCTTTCCATGCATAGCATACTTTCTACATTTTTAAGATTAGGAAACTGGATGATTTTTTTTGAGGGGGTAGGGAGCTGAGGAAAAAGGGGGTCGAAACTAATCAGAAGTCAATAGTTAAATAAAGACATCAACCCAGGCGGACATAGGCGCAGGATTAACCTCTACCACTCCAGCTCAGGTGATAGGGAGGAGAGGTCAGAGGCTATTTCTTACTTTCCAACGCCCTCATTCACTGCCTGACCCGCTATAGAAACACACTTAGACAAGAAGGAGCCGCAGCATGGAGGAGGACCCGCACCACCGGGCCCTGCCAGCATTAATTCAATCTATCAAGGGTCAGCTAGTTAGCAGCGTGACCCCGCTAAAACACGCTTTAACTTTACAGAACAGGCCGCTATAGAGAAGCCAGAGCACCCCCCAAAAAAAAAAACACCGACCCCCGAAAACCAGATGGCCTCACAAAGGGGAACATGGAACCCTGAAAGAGAGGAGGTAGTGCGGGGCAGAGCGGGACAACAGGCATTCAGGACCTTGATGAGGGTGGATTAGAGAGGGCAAGGGTTCTGCTGGGTGAGTGGGTGGGGGGCAGAGTGACTCCCAGGTTGTTGTGTGTTTACGTCGGTGTGTGTGTGTTTGAAGATACGGTGAAGCTCTGATGACCCTGAAACTGGCCGTAGCCTGGGCACTTCAGATCAGCCATGTGACTCTTGTTAACAAACATGTTTTGAGATTTACTCCTTTTCTTATAGTAACAGTACTCCCACTGAGGTTTGTGACGAAGCAGATCAATCGTTCATGTGATGGAATAATTCTAGTCTTACAGTAACATACTAGTTATCCTATCTAGTGAGTAAAACATTTTAGGCCAGTAGGAATCAGTAATATTAATAAGTAATATTTTGTGGGGAGAAAATTCAGATTACGTGACATCCTCTCATGTTATAGTAAATAAACGTACCGTATATTTACATAAAGGTGGTGTTCTTGAGTCCGTTTTTTGTATTATTTCATTTTGACTAGATGTACCCGAATCTGCTCAGCTGTGATGCTATAAATGATACTTCTCCCTTTACGATTATACTGCATAAAGTACCAATATATCGAGGATATTTTGTTTGTTCTAAACCAAGACCAATAAAAACAAATATATTGCTGAGGTTCTGATCATTGTGCGAATATAATTTTAATACAGGTAGCGTTTCCCCTCGTCACCTCATTAAATAATGAGAATTTAAAAGCAGCTTCCTTTATTCGGCCATAATATTGAAGCAGCACTTTGAGTGGTTATTTTCAGTCCTTCAGTCACAAGAGAGCATTTATCAGCTACATTATATTGGCTGTGAGAGTAACTCGCCAGACCTTTGCTGAAAAACCTGTAGGTCTGTACGCGGAAAAAAAAGTGAAGGAATTATAAATTACATTTATTTGCACTACTCGGGGCATTTTTCTTATGATAAGGCAAAAAAGCACTACATTTGTGGGCAAATAAACTGCTGTTAGATATTGCTTCCTGTTATTATTAGACTAAATACCAATAATAGGTGCAAGAATGCTGCCCTCCTCTGTTGCAAAATGCATGACAACAAATTATTATGCAATTATTTATGAACATGATCACTCCAAACACATCAATGATCATCTGAGATGCAGGCAGGATAATGGCGCTACCTGCTTAAATTGCAAAGTAGATATTTTGCTGAAAATGCTAACCACCGCATCGCCCACCACTCGCCGCCCCTCCCCCCCTTACTTTTGAAATGCAAGCAGTCACTCACTCAGCTCGTCCGCCTCTCTCTGATTCACATTACCTGTGCTCACACACACTCTTTCCATCTCTCCCTACCTTTCTCTCTGTGAGTCTTTCACCGTGCCCTGGTATGATCAAAGACAGCTTTGTGACACTGTGTGAGGCATCGAGGAAGCAGAAAACATCAAACCACTAAAGAGCAACTTGCAAAAAAAAGACAGAGATAGAGGGACAGAGGCGCACATGCATGTGTGTGTATGTGTGTGATAAACAAATGAATTAATTAACCAGACAAGAGAGAGGGATGACTTTGTCTCTACCTTCAGCACGTCGATGAAAGGTAGGAAGGTGTCCCTCTGAAGTCCGTTTTTGTACAGATCTGAAAGAGGAGGGGAGGGCCTGTATTAGAGCTGCTGTTTAGCCTCCTAATAATGTCATTCCCTCGCCGCAGATTGGCAGATAAAGTGGCTATTGATGAACTGAAGGATGGGTGGGGAGGCACGACAAAAGGACTGGGACCAGGAGAGAAAAATGGATTTCTCTACCGGCAGCGGCAGCAACATAAAATTCATTACATTCCCAAACAATGGTGGCGACAGAAAGGACTGTCGCCTTTTCAGAGCGGACAATGTCCACAGCAGCTCGCTGAATAGATGTTTCAATTAGCTCGGCTGGAACAAATTACATCTGAAGTAGCATCCCTGATAGACAGATAAAACAGATAGGGATTCACACACAAACACGGACAAAGACACACACCCACAGACACACAGCGAGGCTTCAGCTTTTCCAGCTGCGAACGTAAACAAGCTGTCGTTGTTGATGTTTGGGTTTAAGCTTAACTTAACTCCTATACTGTAATGGGCTGTGCTGTCTATGACACAATTCTTTTGCAAAGGTGAAAGGAATAGGTAAACATTTTGATGATGACGCAGTTATTTATGTGTCGACAAAGACTCCACAACAGGCTGCAGTGTTACTGAATAGGCATGAACGCTGTCTCTCAGTGGCTTCAAAATAATTGTGTTCCTCTGAACTGTCGAAAAAATAGTTTGAATGTGCTTTGAGGTGATGGCTTCACAATAACTCTTAATGAAATGAAAAGTTAGAAAGGAAATTGTTTTGGTTTCATCTTGGATTCCCAAATAACATTGGAGCACACTTTAAGAAAGTGCCTACGGCCATCAAAACGTATCTTAATGGTTATCGACTTAAAAGATCTTGTTAACCAATAAAGGCCGGCCCACTTTACAAGCAGGCATTGATTTGATCCCATCCTTATATTATGTAACTGTCTGAGGCCATGCGATACAGTGACAAATAAAACCAATGACCTTATACATACAAGTGTTGTGTTTCAGAAATGGCACCAATGTGGAACTAAAAAAACAAGTTTAGTATGTTCAGCTTTAGAAATGTTATAAAACTTACATTTATGAAATGGATTTTCAAGTGAGAATGGCTTTGCCCAGAACTAGTCAGTCAGATGATATAAAATAAGAATAAACGTATTACAGTAAAGGAGCCACTACGAAGGGAGCAGTTAGTGGAGACTGCAAATCAACATCCAATCAGTCCTCTCAGCTTTTAAAACTAAGGTGAATCTAAAACTAAACTAAACTAATTAACACGATATATCCCTCATGTTTAATCTGTACAAAAGCCAAAGTGAGTAATGGGGCTTTAATTAGGTTGTGTCCTGGTGTACATTATTGGACAGAAGCAATGAGTTCCTAGAAGTAGTCAAGCATATGGCCTCCTGTGAGACAGGGTTTTACACTTTACACGAACAATCTTTTTATTTGTGAGGTATTGTGTTGGGAAAAAAGCCAGGGTAGCTGTTACAACTGTTTCTATTTGTGCCAAGCTAACTGGCTGAATTTCATATGTAATGTACAGATATGAGTGTGGTATAGATTGTCTCACCCAACTGAGCAGTATTATACTGTAGATAGATGTTACCGATTTAACTGACAAGGAGGCTTATTAATGGGGGGAAATTAAATGGATTCAAATCAGCTCACAAAGACTATTAAATATTTCACGGTAAATTGCACGTCCAGAAAAGACCATTTATCCATAACCATTTATCCCTCAACTCTACTCAATGTTATTAAACTCCATCCATGTTTAAAAACAATGAAACACCACTTTAGTCGTTGTAGCAAAAACCATATTTCTAAATTATGCCTCCAAACACGGCCGTTTGATGGCACATGTGTTTGATTACACATCAATAAAGATGGAAAATGTATGCCTTTCATGTCCAGTTGTCTCTTATGGCTTTCAGTGTTCCATTAACCAAGTAATTAATACCAAGTAGGCTCTCTATCAAGTTTGCATGGTTTGGCGCTTTGTTCTTAATAGCTAGTAAATATCAGAGACGGGCTTCTTTGTCTACAAGAGCCATTTTTCTGCCATCCACTTCCTACCCACTCGAGGCATTGAGACATCAACATCTTCCCAGAGAAAGACGTCAGATAGCACATCATGCATTTATCTTCACCTTGATCACCGCCAAGCTAATTCTTTCTCAGACCTTGCTCTGCTGGCAGTAAATGCAACATCAAAGCCTGTTTAAAGGTTGTGTCATGTCTCTAAGTGAGAGCTGTATCAAATGTCTTTTCCCCGGTTATTCGCTGTTAACAGGGTGTATTTGTCGTGGTCCTGTAAATTGATTCTTGCCGGGGCCAAGCACCTTCAGATGAAAGTATTAAGTGAATATTAAGTGAATAATGTAGATGTATGTAAAGTGACTGGGAAATGTGCTGGTTCAAGAGGAGGAGAAGCAAACATTGGTGTTCCAGGAGTATTACTTGTTATTTCAGCTGTAGATGGTGTACTGGTGTAGTTAAGAGGACTTTCGAGGCTGAAGCATTGTACGACGGCGATTTACTGTCAGCCTTTTGCCTTCTCAGTCCTTTAGAGCTTTCTATAAAAGATAGCATTCCTTTCATTCTTGCATTCTCATGGTAAGTAGTAAAAGCTGACCGTTCTTGACAGTAAGTGGTCATTTTTATAAATGCAACATTTTGCAATACTCTTTTCAAAGATAACCATGATCAGACGACCTCAGCTTTGCTATGTTTTATCAGTCAGAGTAAGAGTTAGGTAAAGCTTTAATTTTGATGAACAGTTTGTAGTTTAAAGTATAACCTTCTTTGAACAACTCATCAATTATTTTCACTACCGTGCAGCACTAAGGTTATGTGCTTGAGCTATTAATTTGTTTTCTGATCATTCGAATATCTATATCATTTCATGCATACCGAGTTAATGGGCAAGGTTTGTAGGAGTTCTAGTAGCACTTTTGTTATCTTTCATTTTCCCTTTCTTTATCATTATTTGTCACCACATCAAACCACAAGCACCTAAAGTACCCATTTAAAATGTAAAATCAAATGGGTACTTGTTGTGATAGATTAGATTAAGTAAAAGAAAACATTTGTTTTTTCAACACTAACTTAATAAAATATTTCAGATATGTTTTTTTGTAACTGCTGAATAATTGTGTCAAATTATTATTATTATTATTATTATTATTATATGGTCCTGCAATATAAGGAAGATTTCATATTTGTTCTGGAGGTTCTAACATTTCTGTTGCAAAATACTTGTTTACTTTAACCATTTCAAGTGTAGTTGCTGTGTGTTTAATCAGAACAACTTAATAAACTAGAAGAGCACTGGGAGAGCGCTGACCCCGGCCAATGCCAATCCGCTCTAAAATATAATGCGTTCTTCTTTGGCCAACCTTTTTATCAAATCAGGCCAGTAGTATTTTGATAAACCTGCTTAAAAACACAAAAACAACCCGAACTGAAAACCTAACCTCCGAGGCAGAGGTAATAAACCAGCTAAAGAAGATGACTATAGGTATGGGCTGAGTCGCCGTACCGTCAGGGGGTCGGTTGGAGGTGGCCACCACCACCACTCCGGTCTTGAACAGCGTCTCAAACAGCTGCTTCAGGATCATGGCATCAGCAATGTCGGTCACCTGACAAAACAGAACCAGAGAAGAAGAAGAGCGAGACATTCAGGTGCTGTATAATTTACCTTTTCTCGCCACAGTACGTGTGTGAGTCTGAGGTCAAACCATGCCATCAACACTCCATGTTGATTAGTGTCATTCAGGTGTGCTCATTCAATCCTTTTGTGTGTGGTCATGGCCATTCACACTCGCACACATATACGCACACATACACACCTCGACCACTTGAACTGACTGCAAATGGTCACGGGGCGGCTTTCTGCTGGGGACAAGTAGCTGAGGCAAGGCAGCGGTCCTGAGCTAATCAACGGCGCAGTTGTAAAAATGACTGAACGCAAGCGGGAAAAACAAGAGGAAGAAAAGAATGATGAAAAACGAGCAATGTGAATCCAGACTGGGGTCACCATGGGAGACAATGATTGATAGATGTTACACAAAGATGACAATTCGACAACCTACACAAGGCTATAATGCATAAATACGATTCAACTGTACGCTCCTTTTTATTTATCGACATCATTTCCATCAGTCCACAATAAACAAAGGTCGCTGACAACAGTGAAACAAGGACGTTCATGAGTCTGTTCGGCTGTAAAGTGAAGAGCTCTGACCTTTCTATTAGCAATCCAGTGCTCTCTCTTTTGTTCTTATACTCTCATATCTCTCTCTTTAAAAGCTGCATGTATATAACACATCTGATTAAACACGATGACTGACTGACTAATGGGCATATTGTAAAAGCAATGGAATTATTCTCCTTTCAATACAATATGACATACAAATCCACTAAGCTAAGGGACCTTCCTTTGCAACATGATTGCTGTAGGTAGATTCAAATGATGAGGAGGAATAGTATGCAATTATACCATGTGCGTTTTAAGCAAATTGAGAGGTACATTACGAGAGATACAGTTACGTTGCTATTATCTTAATGAAAGGAGACCTTTTTAAGATGTCTTCAATAAAAGGAAGACTTCTGTCCCGCCCTCTCCTCTTACTCCCTCTTACCTACTCTCCTGTATATAACAGGCACTTCTGATGGCCATACCCACGACATATGCCTCCTTTCATACTCTGGAGGGTCTTCTGCTTTTGCATATTAGCCCCACTGCCCTTGCCAATACTTGATTAACATTTGTGTTAAAGCCTTGATTTCGCTAAGGAGAGGTGGCTAGGGGCATCAAATTAGTGTGTGTGTGTGTGTGTGTGATTGTGTGTGTGCGTGTAATGAGAATCAACAGAAAGCCAAGGCTCTGTGTCTCTCTGAAGGGGCCCCCATTTCCTCCGACCGCAGGATTTTATTTTCATTTCAAAAGAATCATTTAAAAATGACCTTTTATACAACCTGGATTTGTTTATTCATGTGCCCTCAACATGGGCATAGTATGAGGGGCAATATTGATTGCTGAATGAGAAGGGGGAGAGGGAAAGAGAATGGGTACCCACAGAATGAGAAAGGTGGAGGGGACTGATGTAGCACTTGTGGAACACAAAAATAATGGTGCAATCTCCGTCAGCCAATGCCGATATTCAAATGAGCATCCAATTACTCAAGCGGCCGTCAGTTTACAGCGAGGCACACGGGTGCCAAATGAAACCTCTTTTGATGTTACACCTCTTTATGTACACAACCTATGAGCAATTTCACAGAGGCAGCACGGTGACTGAGGCCCTGAGACAATGACGCTCAAGCGTTTTCTTCTCACTCTTCTTCCTTCTTCCTCGCTCTCTTCCCATCGTTCCATCTCGGACCTCTCAATGGCGAGTATTCATTAGGGGAGCCGGGCGGGGGCCGTAAAAGGAGGGAGGGGGGCTACAAATTACTGATAATGGCAGGGCGCTAATGAAGAGAATGGAGAAATGTCATTAGCATTTAAGAGGATAAGATCCATCTGACCCGCCGCCGCCAGTCGCTTTCTAGCTCCACTCACTTAAGGAAGCAGGAGAGTGCGACTGATACCCAGAGCCTCATTTGCATGGCTGAGTGGAGGAGGATGCTGATTGGTATAAACCCCCCCCCCTCCCTCCCCCAACCTTGCAACCTCTTGTTTATGCATCACAAACAACGTGCACATGTCCGCTTGTTTCCCCTCCATTCACCGGTAGCAACAGTCGACAAGCGGAAACAGCAGAGCTGGCGACAGCAAACAAAACAAATCAATGAGAATGCAACAACAGCGCCCGCAGTTTAAAATGTGAAAGACGGGCGGATGAAAGGAGCAGCTCTTGATCCTCGCAGATGCATAGAGAGTGATTAGAGAGAGCAAGCACACTTTCTGTGACCTTTGACCTGCTGGCATTAACTGTAATGATATCAGTAAGAGGAACTACACTGTGCGGCTCACAGATGTGTTTGGCTAATGATAAAGACACAAGCACACGTCTTTCTTTACTCACTGAATGACTAACTACCTTACAGAGAATAGGGAGAGCTTCAGTAGTGGCTCTCTCCTTTGACAGGGTAGAATAATGAGAACTACTGCAGCACTAATGGCTGAAGATGCCTCTTATTTGTGTAAATCCAGTGTACAGAAACTGCAGGTGACTTGGTTGTAATTGATGAAGCAAACATGTGCAAAAATAAGCAACAGGAGCAGATTACTGGTTGCTGCATTTACAACGCAACACAATATTACACATTGATACGTGTAACATTACACATGTATGTACTAGTACTGTACTAGTAAGCTACTACTGGGGAGAGCGAATGTCTCATTGATATTGGAAGTCATTATGCTATATTTAAAAAGGCCACTAGGTGTCCCCAGTCCTGTTTCTGTGGGGGAACACAGATCAGAAGCATCCAGTACTCCAGACAGGATACTGGTTTAAATGAAACACTAAAAGTGATCACAGCTTGAACACATGTTTAACTTGTTTCTGATCAAGCAGGAAAGAGAGGTTACCTATAACTACTACACAAAAGAAACACAATGTTGCATATCACTTTGCTTCCTTTGATATTTAAAAATCTCTGATGTGTGATTTACTGTGTTTACTGCCAAAATCTTATTTCCTGTTTCTTTGTGTTTAGTTCAAACCTGTAACATTTGCTGGAAATTTCCCTGAATATTGAATAAGCCAGTAGCTACAAACTTTTAGAAAAAATATGCAATATCTGTCAATATAATGTAAAATAATAACTTCTGTATGACTGTTGCAAAAAAAGTGTTTTGATCTGGAAAAAGAATTGACATTAAAACAGTAGAATTATTTTGTACCTTGCAAACTTGTTAAACCTTTATAATGCCTTAAGATATTACTTAATATACTTTTTACTCAATATGCCACAAAATAGGTTTTTACTTTAAATCTTTGGCGCTCTATGGGTATTCATCTTAGCCGAGGGTATTTTTTGGTATAACATTCCTAAGCATCAAAACGCCATTATTATTTAAAGTTTAACTAGCACTATATCTTCTAGTATCACCCATTACTTAGTACTAATGTTGGTGTAGTACTTTTGAAAGCAAATGTATGCAGTTGATGTTTGCTTCTTGTCGCTAATGTTCAAGCAGTTGTTTTTTTACACACACACACACCTCTACACACACACACCTCTACACACACACACACACACCTCCACACACACACACACACACACACACACACACACACACACACACACACACACACACACACACACACACACACACACACACACACACACACACACACACACACACACACACACACACACACACACACAACCACACACAACACACACACACACACACAACAAACTCGCTCACCTGAAACTCGTCAAAACACAAGAGGCAGGTTTCGTCGCTGATCTCCATGGCAACCGGTGATATGGGGTCATGGGTGAACATTTTCCCTAGCCTTCGTTTTGGCAGGCTTTGTTTCCTCCGGTGAATCCCTTTAAGCAAGCACACAAACGTCAGGCACATCCTAAAGCACACCTGCATCAGCAACTCAATGACAATACTGAATAAAGCAGTAATTTCACCTGTATGCATAATGGTAGACAATTAGCAGGAAGGCTTCAGGACAAACACAGAGATAAATATAGGATCTCCAGCGCATGAGGAGTCAGAAAACTTCCATAAAGTCAAGCAAGCAAACCTTCAGCAGTGAGCGTCTTGGAGTGGGAGGATGATACTAACTTTTGTGGATGTCCAGCATGAAGCCGTTGAAGTGGACTCTCTTTTTACGAGTGTTTTCCACACTGGAGTAAAACATATCCATGAGCATGGTCTTCCCTGTGCCTGAGAGGGAGAAAGAAAAGCATGATTATAACTTCCTTGAAATCTTCCAGAGATGAAACTCCTTAAAAAAAAATCATAGTATATCTATTTATTTTGAGATCTTACCGACATCTCCATAGAGGTAAAAGCCTTTGGGTGGGGGGGGAGTGGGTCCCTCCTTTGAGGGAAAATACAGGAAGCAAATGAATAAGTATGTTTTTACATTGTATCTTTACCAGCTGCTTGCCATCATAAACAACAATGCACAACAGTTAAGCATAACATCAATATGGTTATGAAAAATGATTGCATAAATGCCATATTAAAAAGGCACTAAACATTATAGCTGTTGACCTACATAAACGTCGTTATATTCATTACCATATAAGACTGAATCATCGTTTGATAAACAAAGTATGCTGAGGCATTAAGCCACCACTACAGTGTGAGGTTTCACATTCTCCAGACTAGCCCAGTGCAGGGGAGGAAGACAAAGGGGATCTAATCAACAAGACAAGCCAGGGTTCCCACGAAATAAAAGCATCATCAGAGGAACAATAGGGGGATTTGTCAGACAAAACGGAGAGGACTGGATGAGGCTCCATACGAGATGGAGTGGACTTGTCTGTGCAGCCTGTTTAGCGCTGCTAATTGTGATACGGTACTGTTGCATTGAGGTGCTGCTGGAAGTCATTGTGCTGCCTGCCTCCCATCATCAAAAGGTCCTTGCTTTAAAAAAAAAAAAAACGTATTCTGTGTGACCGAGCTGAGAATATCGCATAAAGCCAATATCTCTAAAGAGGGCCGAAGCCATGTTGACGTCATCAGTTTACTCATGACATGTAACAATAAATTAGAGCATATTTGTTAGTATATGAGGACAAATGAGAAATGTTTAATACAGGGTTCAACAACAGTGTGGTTCAAGATTGTCCATCTCTGTAACCGGGCAACGGCAAATAGCTTTGGAATTAACTGAGCACTGAATAGAAAGGTTTGTCCTCTTAAAATGTAATTTAGCAAATATTTCATGAAGACGGTACTCAGTGTGTCCAATGCACTCAGTGACCAGTACAAGTAGCACTTGACTTTGGGGAAAGCAGACAATGGCCAATTGAAAACTAAATGAAAAAACAAACTTGTTACTCATCCTCTCTCTCACTCTGCCCTCTCCCGGCTCCTCCCCTCTCCCCCCCCTCCATCCCTGCCTGTCCTGTGCTGGAGTGAAACACTGGAAGAGCAACAAGCCTTTCCTGTCTGCTCTGGCATAACAGTGTGTGACTTCTCCCTGACTTCCCAGGCTGCCCTCTGGCATGGTGGGGTAATTGTCAGTGGTGGATGGAAGCCATTCTGCCACGGCAGAGTGGAGAAAGACAAGGCCGTCTCTCAGCCACTCTGTCTAGCTGAGCTGTGTGGCCTTGTCTCACCTCCTGGAAGAGGGTGCAGACTGGCACATGAGTGGAAAGTTCACATGCAGGACATAAACATTTTGGTTTTGAAATGACTTCAGGAGAACTGCGTTTGATCACATCTACAGACAGATACGTTGTGTCTTTCACTCAGAAGGTTCATGGGAGTGAGGTTTAAATGGTACAACTGTCCTGCTGGAGACCTCCAGTGTACAGGAGGACTGCATGATGCAGGTCTGACTTGAAGAGGGTGGCGCCCTTTAAACAATGGTCCATTGTTGGCCGGCCATCCGCAAAACCACGCCACATTGGGTCAATATTAAGTCAAGTGTACTCTCCTCACAGACTTGGTCAGTTAGTTAGGACAATGGCGGTACTTTCACAGAGAGAACAGACACCGAAAGGACAGTGGTATGACCTGATTCGAGCCAGAATAATTGCATAAGTACTCCTGTCAGTGTGTATGTGTGTGTGTGAGAGACAGAGCAAGAAATAAGGTGCAAAAGGAGAGGGGGCGGTGGTGTTGATAGCCTAACACCAAAGTATTTGTCAGAGTCCCGAATCAAAAGCAAAAAGGACAAGAATGGCCCAGACAATGGGGATCCCCTCATTACTGCACTGGGACGGTGAGAGAGTGAGAGGGGTGCCGGGACCAGCCCAGCAGGAGGTCTGCCCTGCTGCCTTCCAAAATCTCTGCCTAACCCTATGTGTCTGTGCCAGCCAACCAACAAAACAACTCCCACCACCAAATACTAGACAGTCAGCTCCCCTGACCTAAAAACAACAACAGCCCCCTACATTACGCTGTTCCAAAACTCACATACACAATACACTTCCCAGACCCCTACCCTCCCTTTGACCTGAGCCCCATGGCCACCATCAGTGATACAACTTGTGTACAGTGCAGTGAACTCTGTGAAGTCCCTCCATATGTTGGACATCAACAGGGCTTTATAACAGACTGAGAGTCCAGATGCCCCACTGTAATAGGCTTTAAACAAATCCATGCTGCTGTACAAATTGTAAACTGTGTCCAAAATCACTCATTATTTTCGACCTTATGCACAATTCCAACTTTTTATTTCAGTGTATGCACATTGTAATTCATGTTGTAAGGAAAGAAAAAAAAGATCTGCAGCATGTATGCTACTTCTTCATTTTAAGTCCAAACAATTCAGAAGTGCCCAAAATCTCAACTGAATAATCCTATTGAGTGTATATCAAATACAGAATAGTATTATATAATATATATAATATTAGTCAGGTTTTAATGGCACTACTGTCTTGCATGACAGTTTACGGTTTAGATTGACAATTAAAAAAACCTACTCAAATCAGATCCACTTAGGGATTTTTCCTCAACCGTTCAACCGCATCGCATGGTCTTTATGATAGGGAGGAGTTTATTTAGTTGTAACAGAGATGGATCCGTTGATATATTGGTCAAATACCTGTTTTTTTTAAACAGTTGCTCAAAGTGCATGTCATCAGGTGCAAATTCATGAAAACTGACCAGACTCCGCCTGCTGATTAAGACCATATCTTAGGCCATAATCCCATTGTATTTTGTTTATGTATGTATGGTATTTGTGGACGTACATTTGTGGATGTATTTTCTTTAATATTTTAATTTTTGTTTTTGAAAGAGTCTCATGTGGACAGGTGTTATTAAGTCTAGCAGGAAATTGGTTGCTTTATGACATTGTGGATACTACATGTGGTCTATGGTTTGGTTTTGATAAGTTGTCCACTATATTTTGGAGACCAATTACATGTCAGAATCTAAATTCAGAAGGGCAATCAAACAAGTATGAGAGTAATCATTATCCGACCATGCATCATTATGTATAAAACGTCAAACCTTTGCAGTTGATCCACCATATTTAACGTTTGGAAGTTGACTGTTGTCATCTTTTGAGTTTAACCTGGTTGGGGTTGGGTTCAAGTTGATGCTGTTAGTGTAGTTATTCAGATTGTGCTTCAGCAAAGCCAGCTGCTGTAGGACGTTTCTCTGCTGAATGTCTTCCTGCAGGGAGCCACACTGAACAAGGTGCTCATACTGTCCACTGAGGGCACACGTTTTTGCTGCAGGAGGCTCAGAGGAGCAGTGTGGTGCGGACGAACTGCATGTCCTACAGCCAGTGTAACCTTGGAGCATAAAAGCAAAAGCTGTTTTGTAAAATTCTCTGTAAATCGTTACCTTAAGACTGCAAGTATACACGGATTCTGTCAATATTTAAGTAAAACGTCATAGGAAGTAAATAGAAGTCGAGTAATTCAGAGGTTTAAGACTGTTTATTTTTAAAACACGACAACCTGAAAATAATTGACTACAACATGACCGATAGACACGTACCCTTTCCAGTGCAAAATGCTGACCCTCGGAAAATTCTCCTTGAAGTCAGAACAGTATCTTTTAGTACAAATTGTATTGAGAATCTGGCAGCAGCAGGGACCCTGTACGCAGCCATGATGTTTCAAAACTCAAAACTTTATTGACAATCACTTGACAAATATAAGCCACATGACACAGGCATGGCAGGATAGAGCATATGTTGGGTATCTAACGGGTATCTAACTGAATATTAATACATATTATTAGATATAACCTGTATACAACTCATACATTGTATTTTTATTTATCTTGTAAACTACTGCAGGTTAGGTTGAAAATAAAAATGTAATGTTTTATATTTTAGACCGAGGTATATTTATATGACTGGACCTTATCAATAATAATGATATTTATTTCGCTTGTTATTTCGTTTTTTAATAAAACATTGTTTTTTTAATAATTAATATTATTTGAGCATTGAATCCAAAAGCAACACTGTTGCACGTTTTAGCAGCAATTTCAAAGCATGATTGGTCTTGAGTACAGGAATATAATGATAACAATTGTGTATGTCGTCCGAAAACGTCATTCCAACCGATATGCCCGCTGGCGGGTTGTAAACAAACCGAGCAGCAGGTGGACGGGCAGCATCAGCTGAACCTCAGCTGATCGGAAGTGCAGCGAGCTGGCCTTTCAAGCTTGCCATAGTTACGGAGACCTATCAAAACCGGAAACTGTATGACTTACCTTCAACTTAAAAGTTACCCCTAAACTTTTGTGCTGCATAAACAACAGCGTCCTGTAAAAAGTCACATATATAAATAAATACTATAATTTAATACAAAAACTCTCCTTAAAGAGTGTGCTTGTCTGTATACGTCCAATTACCCGTGCACAACATTCACCAAATGTTTTATTTCGAAGGTGAGTAACGGAATGTAGGTATTTGTATTCTGGCTAGCTTCACACTATCACTAGCTGCTAGAAGGACAGGGGAGAAATGGCTGATACCATAGCTGACACAAGAAGGCTCTTCTCCAAGCCCCAGAACCTAAATGACGCTTATGGACCTCCAAGTAATTTTCTAGAAATTGATGTGAGCAACCCTGAGACCATCGGGGTTGGCAGGACCAGATATACCACGTATGAAGTCAGACTGAAGGTAACAACTGCTAATGATGTTAGCTTTTAAGCTAGCTACCTGAAGTATCTAACGTCTTTCCTGTTGACAGAGAAAGTTATGACTTCATGACATCGGGGTCGCCCAGAGCAATAAAGGATGCGTATACAATCACATAGTCGATATTTAATTATGTGTAGAAATGTCTGTGCAGTTGTATTTGCAACACGAGTTTGCTAACGCTAGCTAGCAGGCTAGTAACCCTCGTAAAACAAGCTAACACTGTTTGTCTGACAGTAAGGTAACGAGTTAACGTTACTGATGTTAGCTTTGAGTCTAAGTTATTTGATTATACGTTTGTTAATAAGTAATGGAGAGATTTTGATAACAATGTTAACAGGGACATTGAACCTAATGTTTCCCTAACTTGTAACAGGCATGTAGCTGTCTCTCTGTTTACGAAGGAAATGTGTTCTGTTTACATTGGCCTCAAGTGTTTTTCTTCCGTGGCGTGACATTTAACTGTTTTACCAATTCATACAAGTCTTCAAATAACTGTCACATTACCCCTGCAGCCAACTGAGTAAACGAAGATGAAACAACTCATCATAAAAGTGTACCCTGCCAAGACAGTTCAGGTTTGAACTCCTGCCACACCCCATTTTCTGACTGCAAAGAATAGATAACAGAATGGGTTACACTTAAGAACCAACTTAAAGTCATGTATGACAAGATGCTCATCTATATCCTATACTACTATTACTTGAGTAAGGGTGTCTGTTTTTTCAAGAGTGCTTACTTCGACCTGACTTTACTGATAGGTCATCAAAAATTCTCCAATGCTGGGCTAAAGGGGAACATAACTTTGCAAGTCAGCTTCTTTGAAACTGGACAGGATGCAACGTGCTGCCGGATCCTTTCCAGTCGCTCCCAACCCCCTCACCACATTTCCTTCCTCCTGCTCTACTGAATACTTGTAGAAGAGAACAAATGATGGTCTTCTTAGAGAGGTTCCTGCCATCTGTTGGTAAACTATAATAGTTGGTCCAAATGCTTGTGTCAAGAAACGTATACAATATTGTTTCTTCAAAGTTAAATCTTACATGTTAGACTATTGCCTTACTACTCCATCCAGAAATGTGCTGTTATTGCGCAATCAATGAGGAGAAAAACAGTTGGACAGTCCTTGCTATTGCGAAACACAGATGTGTGTCTCATTGGTATTTTCCTCTGTAAATCAAGGCTGAGTCAGCTTGAATGATTTTAGACAAACAATGCAAAGACTGTACTTTAACCAACTGACAAATAGCAGACAAGGATGATGATTGACAAAAATGATCACAAGGTCCACTTACCTTGATGTTTTGGAGCTTGATTAAAAAACATTCACCCCCGTTTCAAAGGTTATGAAGAATTTGTCAAACTTAAATGAGACATTTGCTTAAATTATTACTTGCATTATGATGAGCTATAATTGTCTCTTTCCAATATGACACATGCATTAGAAAGAAAGTGGTAGCACCATTTTAAAGATTTGACAAACTTTCATTTCTGTCACCACATACGCTTTTGCATAAATTGAGCCATTCCAGTGCTCTTCTGTATGCGCTTTAAATGTGCAGGCTTTATTGAGAGTCTGAAATGATCAGGCAGTCATTCGTCTCGTCTGATTGCCCTGTCTTTTATCTTTAAATTGTCATTTCAGTTGACTGACACCCCTGTAGTTAGTGGCCTGGAGTATTTAGATTGGGGAGCAGCCCTAAAGTATTTATAGTTTCCCTTTACCTTAAGAAATGGGTTGAGGAACGAGAAGCCGTCTCCAGGCATTAGCGTTGAATATAAGGCTACTGTACTTGATTAGCGTGTTATAATTAGCATATGCGTGTAATCAGCATTATTGTGCACCTCATAGCCCTGTGTGACCCTGCTTTGCATAAGACCACAGAAGAAGCGGCGCATCCCTCACTTCTCAACAAACGTGGTGTCAACTTTGCTTTGCTTCTCTCCTTCTCCTTTCTTCAGCTTTCTTTAGAAGCATTTTCCTCCATCTCCAGCAAGTTAAGAACGTTAGCCACAATGCCTCGGCCTGGAATGCATAGCCTATGCTTTGCTCTTATTGTTTCCATTTTACTTGTAATATTCAGAACTACTTTTTTCTATCCTCTAACTATGCTTGATACTTTCTGTTTAATAACGCTTTCCCTTGTCTCCTATTCTCACCGCTGTCCTGCTATCCACCTCCAAATCGAGAGAGCCCTTGTGGCCGCACTGAGAGAGTCTACCTAATCCCCTCATTGAGAGAAGAGAAGAATGAAACAGGCCAGGGTGTGTGGGGGAGCTGGAGCGTTTTTTCCCCCCATCCTTACCCCCCGCCCCCCACCCATGGGAGGGCAGAAAGCCACCCCCTCACCAGCCTTCATCCCATTGCCCACTTATCCCATTTCACTCCCAGCTGTGTGCAGTCAGTTGCGTCGTTGATCATGTGTAACTGAAGCCCCTTTGATGATATGATTTAATATATAGCATAAACACCAGAGCAATGTATTTTCATTACATGATATTGTTTATTTTACTCTTTCAATAAATGACAGTGTGTATTGGAGTTTTGACTTTGCAGTTTCTGCATGTTTAACAAGTAGTTGGTGAAACAAACTGTGTAAATATGTTGTTATCATGTGAGAAACGTAATCCTTTGAGGCAGGAAACATAGTCGCTTTTTGACAACCAGGCCTGCATTGTTTTGTTTTTTAAATCAATGGGATCAATATACTTATTTCAGTCAGTTTTTGAAAGAGGTGGAAGCTAAGTTCTTAGTAAAAGGAGGCGGATATCTCATTTTGCCTGAGCAGACTTGTAATGTCCAAGGTCGTGTTGAAACAATGGATTTTTGTTCTCACCTAAATCCTTGCGTTTTAAGCGTAGTTTCTCAAATGGCCTATAGACCACATGAAGCTGGTAGGTTCTGTTTCTCTTCTGCCTCTGCACGTGTTCTTCTCATGTCGGTAATGGACAGAGTTATTCTGCAGAGTCCTATCATATCACCGTAATGTTTTTTTGTGTGGTTGCTGGCTTTAGAGGTCCTTCTTAAGCAGCGTAGTGTATTTGTCTGGACCCTCAGCAAACATGGAGTTGGGGTGTTTGTGTGTGAGGGGGGGGAGTCGGGGTTGTTGGGTATTATCAAAATGTCTTGTCTTAAGTTGGTTCCCATCTCATCCAGAGAGCACATTCAAGGGAGCGAACTTTGGGATCTCACTTTGTTTATGGATAGGAGTACATAAAAGGCCTCTTATAGCTGTGTCGCTCACTCTCACTCAGTCTTCCACCCCTCCTCTTCTCTACTCTCATAGCTTCTCTTTCTTTCTCTTTTCCATTTGGGCTATGGGGCTGGGGGGGGCCTTTGGTCATTAATAAAATGGGGAGAGGTGGGTGTGTGGTGGGGGGGGGGGTGCGCTTGTCAGGCACAGTCAAGTGTAATCCAAAGTCTACAGCATCCTCTTCGACAACTATTTTAATGGAAATAGGGAACATATTGTATCAAGGCTACCATATCCTACTTGAAATGACAGTATCAAAAGTGGGAGTTGATACTATGGCAACAAAGCAGCTTTTTGCCAGCTAGGCGAGTCGGAGAGAGGGTAGGCTGTCAGGCCGCAAGGGCCGGCAAGCGAGTGAACGAGTGAGAGAGAGTACATGGAGAAGCGAGAGCGAAAGACCCATAGCCCGAAAGCTTTTGTTCCCAGTCTTTTTTCCCCCCACTCTGGAATATGATGCAATGAGATGGTATTATGTTGCCATTTTTTGTGATATTATTCTGAAAGGAGAGTATATGGGAGGGGTAAGAAGGGGGCATGGGGAGGTTTAGGATGCGCACTCTCAAACTTGACTTAATCCATCCTGCTAAAAGCTAATGCATGGTGGCCTTGAACTGTTCTCTCAGGATATGAGTGATCTTTGTCCCCTCTCTCGCTCTTTCTCTGTCTCGCTGTTTTTAAGGGTTCTGCCTCTTTTCAACCCATTTTCAATGAGCCCAAGGTATTGTGTCCCACACATTATGAATCACATGCTCTTCCTATGGAGCATAGATTGCACCTTAGTCACTCATAATGGAAAGTAGAGCTAGGTGGTTTACTTTGAAGGAACTATATCTAGCTTTATGGTCTTTTTCAAAGCATTTTCTCTTTTCAAGCTGCTTTAATATAACCATTCATTCCTTATTTGTGTGGGGTTTTTTGGGGTCTTTCTCCAAGTGTGGTTGTTGTCCTTTCTGCTGGCTTAATTTCCCTCATGTTTTTGTTGTTTCGCCTACGTTTTATTAAGTCCCTTAGGAAGTGAGAGAGGCAAAGTGTGCCTTTTTAGACAATAAATGAAATGCTAAGACCCGGCTGGGTGTGGGCTGGTCCCACCTCCCAATCACTGCAGGGGCCAGTAAGTTGAGACACCGGTCCCTAACCACTAACCAACCGTGAAGAGAACAGAGGCCGGGAAACCTTATCTTTGACTTGTAGGGCTCTCACGCACCGCCTCCTTCAGTGTGTGTGTGTGAGAGAAAGCGAGTGAGACCTCTCCTTTTTCACTTCTGTCATTTTCGTTCCTCCCCTTGTCCTGCAAGGCCAATCTCATAATCACAGGGGTAGAGAGGGCGAGACGATTGAAAGGCCAGGTGACTTTCTTTCCTTACACTCTCACTGCTGGCTTCATTGTGTTGAGATGAGAAGTCCGGGTTCGACTGTGTGTGCATAAACAAGTTTGAACGCCTCGGGCTATTATATTTACATTGTTAACTGTGTGACTGGTCAAACCTCATACTTAACACCTGTGCATGCCCACTTTGTGTACGCCAGTGTGTGCTTGCGCGTGGTTAAGTGTTTTCTGTGTGCACATGATGGGATTAGAGTCACGGCGGTGGCAGATTACCTGTAACTGTGATCTGTTGTGGTGGGGATTAACTTTGCGGCGCTCCATGCTGAGAGGTAACAGACCACGGTGAGAGGAGAGTGGAGTTAATGCTAGGGCACTGGGGTGATAAAGCTTAGATAATCCACTTCTCCTGTGACCTGAGAAAGAGGAGGAGTGAGGGGCTCATTGACAACTTCACCTGGAGAGAACTTGAAATAAGTGGGAAAGGGACGTTTTCAGGGCTCTTGTGAAAAAGTGGGAAAGAGGGAGTGTGCATCCGCCACAAAGGTGACAGAAAGATACCAGTTACAAAATGGTTTGTTTAAAAAAAATGGAGGTGGTGGCTAAAAATGGGTGTTATGGTAAAACAGCTAAACAACAGGTTGGCTAAATTAACTAATAGAGCTATCTTGACATTTTGAAATCAGTTGGAATCAAACACCAGGCTAATGTAATGATCAGATATCAAATCCCAATCACTAAGCATGAGAAAAGTAAGCAGCCAGTTATAAAAGGTAGAGCATAACAGTCGTTACAGCGCAAGGTGCTTCAACACATAATTGTTATTCTCGTTAATAGAAACTGTGTGTGACGTGGATATTTGATTAAAAAGATCTGTGTATCTAATACATTGATACAATTATTTTCCAATAGTAACATTTTAGTTTTAACGTCAAATATGAAATCGGCAGCTCTCACCGCTATTTATAAATATTTGATCAAACAAATTTGCCCTTACCAACCAAATGTTGGCAGGATCTATAATTTTGTACTGAAGGGTGGATGGAGCAGAGGGGGAAGACAACAAATGCTTCGGTTTCCCCCATTGAAACACCACAAGAGGAGTCTCAAGGGCAGCAAATCTGACTTATTATCACAGAGCAAGAGACATAAAGAGGAAAAAGACTGAAGGGGAGAGACCATGAGAGCAAAAAGACCACTCCTGCTCTCCCTCCTCCTCAATTAGTTACCAGATGAAGCTCACAACCCCTCCAGTTTTTTCTGCTCTTCCTTTATGACCGCCTACACCCCCTCCGTGTTCTTTTGTTCCGCCATTTACTCAGCCTTCTAGTTAACTCTCCATCCCCTCTGCTGCGCACAGTCGTCTGCTCATCGATCAGTCTGCAGCTAACACTGTATTCGTGCTGCACCTACTTGTTCAAATGCTTTGCTCTTGTGATTCCTATTTCCATGAATTCTGACCTTCTGTGAATGTGGCCTGCCAATGAAATGCTTATTCACTCCCTCCTTGTTCGTACATTGTCACAGGATGGCCATGTACTGTCAGGACTAGTGAAGAGGTTTGGCATTGTACTGTCATTTGCTGTTTGCTCAATGTTCTGTCAATGTCAAAACATCTCCCATTTTTTAATATAAAAATACATTCTCAAGTGTTTCAACTGCGACTAAGAATGATGCACCTATCTGCGCATGGGTGTACAAAATAGACAAAATGGCCATACACTCTGAGTGCGATTGACCTTGGTGAGCGTAACATAGGTGAACTTTCCATTTTTCTTTTCAGTTTGGTGAAGGAGTCTTTGTTTCTTTTAACACAAGGTTACAGCCCAAACCCAGTGCAATATAACCTTTCACTCTTTCTCAGCATAAAGTTTTCTCTAGATTTCCAATGATAATTTTCCACCTTTTTATACAGATAAGTGCTCCTCAGAACGTGCCTGTGAAGAACGTGCCGATTGCTCGCTGTGGTGTTACTACTCAAACTAAATCACTCAAAAGGAACAACCTTACACTCAACACTGCGCTTCCTTGAGTCCTCGACAATACACCCGCCATCATATACTTACATCCCCAAGTGGTAAATGCCTTATATTCAGAGCTTTATCCATCATCCCGTTCAGCAGAGTAACAGTTCATAAAGTATCGAGCAACAGAGAATGGTATGTTTTCATATTTTCTGATTTCTTTCTGATGAAACATTGGTCCAAATGTGAATAGTAACTAACAGTTGAGCTCATAAATACAGTATAGTATATTGAAAAAGCGAGTAAACACCCTTTATGGTCTCAGGAATAAGGACAATCTGCATACAATCCTTAAAGTGACATCCTTTAACAGTTTGCCATGTGTGTTTGCACCCACAGACCAACCTACCCATCTTCAAGCTGAAGGAGTCGAGCGTACGGAGGCGGTACAGCGACTTTGAGTGGCTCAGGGCGGAGCTGGAGAGGGAAAGCAAGGTGAGCCATTGAGGTGAACTCAACACAAAGGCTCTTGAGTACTTATCTTATCAAATCAGCACACAACAATGATCCCGCGCCATGTTTTTGTATGGGAGAGAAAGTTGTGAAGTGATCTTTTGAGCCTTTGCTGTTTGTTAAAGAAGATGTAACCTTAATGTGGTCTTGTGTTCTTTGTCTCCTGCTGTCATTGAAGGCCACACATCCAGTTTAGAGCCTCAGAAAAGGCATGTCAAAATGTTCTCACCAAATCATACTCTACACAATCTTTATAACTTTTAGAATATTCAAGCGAGGAATAATGGGTTTTAGACATTTTTGTTTTAATTATATTCTTTTGAAATTCTCTTCACATACAGACAGCCTTCAATAAATCAAATCATCTGCCTAAAAAAGAAATCTGTAGCTGATGCAAGCCAAAAATAAGTAGGTGGTGAAAACCAACGGTATAAATAGTAGTCCCTTCTGAGTTCTCTTAACAATGAGGTAGAAAAAACCTTTACGACAACCTTTTTCAATCATTTCTCATTGAACAGATTTGAAGGACGGATTTGATGCACTGACCTGTGTGTACTCTACCAGAGTTGTTATCATGCCGCTAGCTTGAAAGCTGTAATTACATTAGCCATTAACATGTTCATTTTGAGGTAGTGGCTTTTGCAGGGCCAAAGGAACAGGCTATCATTAGGCGCGTTCACACCGGAGTACTTTTCCCACAATAGTTCATCAGAACTACGATATATTTGCGTTCACACCAAAAAGCCCCAGGAACTAAAGTAGTTCAAATTAGTTCATCTGACCCGCTTTTCGTGACCCGCGTGGGAGAAAATAGTTCGTACGTCTGATTGGCTGTGCGGAATGCAAACCACGCCCGTTTGACTCTGATTTTTTTTTGTAAGCGGCCATTGTATTTGCTCGCTTCGGGCCAGCGCACCCGGAGAGATTACTTTTGTGAAAGCAGTTATTATAGCAACACTAAATAAATCATCGGAGTGATTGCCAACTTGGCGACTTTCTCGTTTAATAAAAGAATGTGGAGCTTACTGTTAGCTTCTTTCATTGAAAAAATGTAACTTATTCCTGCAAATTTGTCTGTTTCTCCAGAGCTTAAAACACAAAAAAGTGAACTTAAAGTGTCCTATAAGCCCATTTAAGTGCTGCTGTATGATTATTTTTGTTGTGGTGACTCTTATATTTCAGGTGGTCGTCCCTCCTCTCCCAGGAAAAGCTCTATTCCGGCAGCTTCCGTTTCGAGGGGATGATGGGATATTTGATGACTCTTTTATCGAGGAGCGGAGACAGTCTCTGGAGCAGTTTCTCAACAAGTAAGCCTAACCGTGTCTTCCTCCATCCCTCTTTGCAAGAGGTTGAAACAATTTATTCTTTACAAATTCCCCTTCATCGTTTTGCTGCTCCTACCTTAGCGGGGTTTTATGGTAACTCTTGCGAAAAACAAAACAGTTTGTGCAATAAGTAGATTCAACTTGTTCACTTCTCTTCATATTGTTAACAAACTGAACCTGCTGACAGACGGGTCTTTTTCCTCTCTATCCTCCTTAATTCTCTTTTATAATTACTTTGCAAAAGACAAGAACAACCAAAGAGGACTTAAGTGTGCACCCCCACAACATCATTTTCCCCACATTTGTTTTATTGTTGATGTGTAATTTATGATAATTGCTGCTCAAATTACAGCGCGTTGTTCCGTGGGATCGTGTGTGCACCTCTGCTTATTTTTGATCCAGCATCCTCATTTTCAGCTGCGGAACAATAAAAGTTACAGCGTGATTGTAATGATTTGCTTTGATTGCAGACTTGGCCATTATCTTTGTTTCATGTGCAAATGCATCAATGTTTCCTTTTTGAATATTAAGTGCTCAAAGACAGTTGAGAAAATTTAAATCCATAAATATGTTTTTTAAAGAAGATGAATGTGTTGGTAATTAAGACCCCCCCCTTGCTTCGTATGAATGAAACACTCCTGTTGATCATATCATTGTTCACACTTAATACTGGCCCGTGTGGCTGGCAGCATTGTTGAATCTGTGATTGAGAGCATTGTGAAGAGGAAATCTCTTGGCATGGTAAACATGATTGTCGCCGTGGAACATTGAGAGGGAGGAGAGGAGATAACCATTAGCTTCTGATTAGGCTAGTCAAACATAATTCATGCTTCAGGTAAAGACGAATGGCTTCAAAAAGCAAGCCAGGCCTTGACATTTTAACATGCTTCAGCTGCACCTTGTCCTCCATGTCATCATCTCAATTCCCAAAAGCTATTAAACAGGTTATGTTGGGGAGCAGGCACGATCTCTGCTTTGATTGTCCTTGTATTTGAATGAATACCCCGGGCCGCTCTATTTTTCTAAATATTTCCAGTAAGGGTTTATGACGCATGCATACGTATGATTTCATCATGTTGATCTGTTCTCAGAAATGTTTTTTGGGGTCTCAGGTGCACTGGCTCATTCTCATTAAGCTTCTTTTGGTTCAACTGAAGGTAAATCTGATGTCAAAGTGGCTTTAACAGGAACATGCAGTCATCAAACATACAGTATTTAGAAGGGTTAACAGAATTGGTTTTAAAATAATCCAGAAAATATCTAAATTAACAGCTGTATCCTATAATTCTTTGAATAGGTCTATGTGTTGGATGACAGCACTTCTGTTCCGAGCAGCGAGTCATCTACTTTGTTTTACTGAATAAAGATATTAAGCCCACAAAAGGTCAAGAGAGGAATTATTCTCTCAACTAAAACCATCTAAATAGCCTTGTTTATTAACCTTAAAACACACCTCATTTATTTTGTGCCAAACCTAATTTAAACTCACTCTTAGTAAGGTATTTCTTCTGTTTTGACAATCATCGAAATATACCCTTAAGTTACAAAGTAAAATGGGAAAATATGCAAGCTCTGCCAATTTCATTCTTCATAGGCATACCAGTAAATTGGCTAAATTAGACGACTGGTAGCCTCTCAAAAACATCTGGGGAGATACTCAGCCAATGGCGTTGTCAAATTAAACACGGTTTACTGTGTAAGACTGACTGCTCGCCTCCTCTGAACTGAAACAGGTAGTCCTGTGTGTGCTAACTGCTCTTAGCTGTTAGCTCTGTTAGCTGTAATAGTCCTGTAAACTGTTCCAGAGCAGTCCAAACCAAAGCAGCAGCCCCTACCCAACGATTCAAAGTAGTCAGTAGTCAAGGAGGTCCTAAAACCGTCAATGGAATAGCTTTCTCAAAAATAATCCCAGCCATGACAAATCCTTAAGCATACAATCATAAATGAGCACATTTTTTAGGCTGATTGGAAGTTTAAAAATGAACCCTGGACAAATACAGAGATGCTCATTCATATGACCTAATATATAACCTCCTGCAGAAGTTAATAATAATAGAAAGGATAGATGTGTGGAAACCAGATTCACCAAAGAAAAATCTGATGTATTTCAAGTTGTCTTTTAAACAACACTTTCACACTATCTCCTACCAACTGTCATTCCACATGGTAGTGGAGTTTCTCGTTTGTGGGTTGAAGCTCTTATAGAGGGCTCTTATGTATCATCTACCTGGGAGGATTGGTCTTTCTCCTCTACTAGTCTTTCTTTATTTCCCTTTATATGGCTTGGAGAAGAGGAGAAAACTAATCATGTTATGTGACTGACTGAGTGACTTAGTCTAGATTTGATCAGCATCATAGGGTTGGTTCTTATCCAAAGTCAGTGCATTACCTGCAGTGGATAGCAGTCGGCACAAGAAGACAGAATGTATGACGCGTTAGCAAAGCAATGTATTGATATGGACAAAGGCATCAGCAAATATCTTTTAGCCACCTTAAAGAAAGGCCTGCCTTTTTTTAAAACAAAATCAATATTGGTTAATTGTACCATGCCGGAAACCGTAGTTCAACCGCTGCCTCAATCGATTAGTTAGTTTGTGTTGTTGTGTGACTTTTTGGATTCATCAAGGTAACACATGAAGCTGTAGACCAGCATCTCCCGTTCCCGTTGTGTTAGACAAATAAATGTGTTTGTCAATGGAGTCTGGTGGCTTTGAAGAGAGCACAGATCACAACTCAAGTTCCCGCCTGAAAGAGATGTCTGACAGCAAGGTAAGGCAGGGAAAATATTTTAAGATGTAGCGTTCACTTAAAGGTCCCCTATTATACTGTTTTTCATCAATATATTATAGGTCTCAGATATATACAAAACATGTCTCTGAAGTGTTTGGCTCCGAATACCAAACAGATCATGTATTGTAGCATCCCATAACCCCCTCTGTTTCAGCCCTGTTTCAAAAGTGCTGATTCTCTGTCTGTTACTTTAGATGAAAATAAGGAGCCACTCCCCAAGCCCCTATGCAAGATATTTGGTCAAAAAGAACACAATGGTGCTCAAGGAGGAGATTCAGGTGATAAGGTGGGCGGGGGTTACCTTGGTTTGTTATTGGCTAATGGTTACACAAGCCAAACAATCGTTATGACATCATAACGTGGCCAAAATCTGATCGGGTCATTTTCAGACAGGTTTTTATATAAATGGATCAGGACAAAAAGAGAGCGAATCTTTTTTCCTGAAACTTTCAGAATCTCTTTAAACAGAGGGGACACATGTGTATGTATAAAAGACATGAAAAAGTGGATTTTGCATAATAGCTCCCCGTTAAATTGGTATAGATTTGTATTTTAAATAGTTATTGCTGCTGCCTCCATTCACATCAGGGCTACCAACACTTAAGCTAATTCATCAGTTATTTGAAAACACTTACGGAGGTGGAAACTCCTGACCGTTCAGATAGTAAAACTGTTAACTGATGCCTTGTGATTAAGAAATGTTTCCCTATTCTTTTGGTCATTCATGTTAAATCTTTTCCAGACTCCTCACCTTAAAGTAAGTCCCACGCTCTCGTCAATCTCTGCCCCATTCGTGCGTGTCTTTATGTCCAATGGTACATTCCTGTCACCAAGTCCCATCTTTGAACAGGCACTCGGGTTTCAAACCTGCCTTTTTGCTCTTGTGTGTTTCAGAGTGGCGGGTCATCCTCTAGCTCAGAACGAACGCTGCCTGCACATGTTTCTACAGGACGAGTCTTTGGACAAGAGCTACACCCCATCCAAAATCAGACAAGCCTGAGAGAAAAGATGGCTCTGCTCTGCTCAGCCCGACTGTCCAAAGCTCTCTTCACTGCTCCAGGTTTCTCTCAGACAATAAACATTTCAACTTTTCCTCCACACGCCCCCCCCCCAAAGTAATAACGTTCACTGCCTCTTTTAGTTTAATTAGTGACAATGATCTATGTTTTTTCACTTTCTAATTGGAGTCAAGAATGTTCGACATTTCTGTGGTTGAAGGTAATTTATAGTAATTTCTCTTTATGTCTGGAAATGCCACTAACATGGATATATAATGTATTTATCATTTAGCTATGTCTTGAATATATTCATTTATATAGTTACATTGAATGAGCATTCTATGTATGCAAAGCTCTTGTAAAGACACACAGCGTTTCCCATCATATATATATATCCAATACTGGTATGTTGCACACCATAACTGGCAACTAAACACACACACGCATATATATATATATATATATATATATATTTGATGGGCCTCGACTTTTAAATCACACTCAGTTGATCCTCTTCAAAAGGAAGCACCTGTGTGTATCAACCAGCACCTGACCAGTTATCACAATGATTTTCTAATAAGAAAGAAGTAATTTACACAGAGGGAACTGCAGTATTTCTACTGGCTATATGCATTTTGAGATTTGTATACTGCTGTGCCATTTTTGTTTATTTTGAAGATTTTCCAATAAAATAGGTGAAATGTCTCCACACACGCATACATTTGTTGATTTGGACGGTTGACCTCTCTCACACTCCACATTGGATAGTCTGCTGCGAGTTGCCACAACAATTATCCTAAATGTTTTATTACAGCACTTATTCAATAAATACATAACCTGTTCATTTCATTACAAAAAAAGTTTAGGCCTATGGCAAATCAAAGCTTAATGCAACTGTCCTGAGTTTTTATTTGAAAAATACTACCTCGAAAGACCAAAGTAATGCATACATAATGGCTGACTCCTGATTATTTCATACAGGGTATATCATGATTATCAAGTCAGGCTTTATGTGATCTGTTTACGCTCCATCCAGTTACATAAAAAAGGCATTTCGGGTCTGATTAATCGTTCTGAAAGCAGAAAAGTTCTCCGTCGTTTATTCTTTATTATTCAAACTTTTAGTAAATTTGCATGAACTCTTTTTTTTGTAAAGAAGCATCACAACATTGCTTTAATTGAAGGGACATGTCACCCCGATAACTTAAAATAGTAGTGTCAAAGTAATCACAAACACTTAGTCTTATTTACACTCAGTTGTCACTTTATTTATTTGCCACCCTAAAGCCAGCTTGTAAATGTGAAATTAATTTAGACTGTTGGGTCAAAGAGCAGCTGTTTTGAATGTTTGCATCTGACTTGCAGTTTGATTAGAATAAATAAATGTTTGGATTAGAAGCTGGAAAAATGAGCTGATGGATCTGAAATGCCACGTTGTTTTTTTATCTAACTGGATTTTAGCTAAGTTAGTTGCATATGAATTAATGATTCAACTTATTTTTACTGAACAATCCTGATTTAATCATCCATAAAGTGCGAACAAATCACAAACTGTCATTCATTATGAGTCTTGAAGAAGTTATTCATTACTTGTGCATGTGTTTAATACGTAAATGCATGTATTTTGTATACCCTTAAATCTTAAAATATTTGTAAATGTACTTCACATTTAGATCTAAGAAGACCTTCGCCAGTAGTTTAATATCTGGGTTATTTAAAAGCAGTTTAATTCATTGTCTTTTATTCTCTCGGTTACAACTCTAAATAGTTATAACTCCAAATATTTACAGCAGAATAAAAACATCACAGTCCACAAAAACATTTCCAAGTGCTGAATATTATTGTATCCAGTGTTAGTGCCTAACTTCACAAAGTGGACCTAAAACAGCCTCAAACAGGACACAGCAACACAAACAGGACAGTAACCACTTCAATACAAACACCATCTTCAGATGAATGTAGTTTTACAGTCGAGAGGCAATGCAAGCATATCCTTCAAAAGTCTTTTCCCCCTATGTCTTCATAGAGTTGGCGCCTCTTCCACCATGCGTTTGGTTTCAGCACCAGATCGGAGGGACAGCGATTCACATGCTTCATTTTATTTTTGTATTTTATTTTTTGGTTTCCTCCATTGGGATTGATCACAGCAATAAAAGACTGAATTGGTCGTCAAGCTCATTGGTCTCACAGACACTCAAAAAACGTCTTTATATATAATATATCTTTGTCAGTACTTGGCAGGTGCTCTTCCTCTGGAGTCTTGAACACTGCAGGCTGCAGTATCAAACAGGTAATTCTACAATAAAAGTTACTGGCTAATTCTTAACTAGAGCAACTGTTAACAGGCTACTTAGTGAGCTGTGTTGCAGTCTTTGTTTCAAAGGAGCCTATAAGCCTAAACAGGCTATTTTAAGACGGCCTAAGAGATTGTGTGCCCAGCAATAAATCAACCCACGGTTACACCTGCTATGATTTGATTTCTGTCGCCTGCTGGTGGGTCTCTGGGCCTTTTTAGCTCAAGTCTTTTTTCCAGATGGCGAGAATTCATATATCGCTGGACTTGTACATGTCGGAGAGGAGCCGGGTGATGGGCACGTTGCCGATGGTCTTCTTGAAGAACACCTCCTCGATGGTGGACGGGCCCACCGAGCGGAGAGCCGGCAGGAGCAGGAGCAGCTTCCCGAAGCGACACGGCTGGGTCGGGTACCTGAAACACATCACTGGGGTCAAAAACAGCCGCTCTCTCCGGTTCTCTGCTCAATGTCTGACGCTGCCTGGCCAATTAACGAACACCTGTGATTAGAATAGCTGCTAATTAAAAACGCACCTGTGCTCAATTACAGGATGCTACAGTGGCTTATTGCCTCATTAACTTTATAATGAAGCTGCTAATGGTTATCTGCACGACACGGCTCGACTTAGGCGTGAAACATGACAGATAGAGGGATGGAAGGATTGGAGAAGATAAAAAGAGGGGTAAATAATGGGTTCTTACCTGGTGTGTATGTAACTGTTGAGGGTGAGCTGTGCCTCGTCTTGTAGTGCAGCGATGGCGCTGGCGTTGCGGAAACTTCTTAACTCAGTGTTGCCATGCGTAGGAACTATAAGAAAGAAGCAACATCCTTAATAACGACATATTTATTACCAAAGTTATTAGTCCCCCATTTGGACCTTCGTTAGGTTAAATGAGAACAATTTAAAATACACCTTGGGACAATGCTACTCACCGGCTTTAAAAGTCACGATGCATTTCAAACAGGCGAACTCTGTTGCATCCAGACGCATGTGCCTGAATCGGGTGACCACCTCTTGAAGTGCTTGTATCTCAGAAATGATCTTATTCATCCGCTGAGACTCTGTGTTTTCGGTGTTCATTCCTACAAATAAATACAGAGAAATTGTCATTTTGATAACACTTGTGTATATGCATGCATTTACATCTGCAGCTCATGCGGCCTGCTATTGGCCTGTATTCAGATGTGCTCTCATACGTACCAGAAACGGCTAGAAGAGTAGAGGAGTCCACAGGAATGGCCCACTGCGCGATGCCCAGAACAAATAATTCCCTCCAAGCGTCCTCCAACAAAATCAGCTGCAAAAACAGGTATCATGTCAGTGTTGAACTGTATCTCCAATCAAGCAAGAATGTGAATCGTATTATTATTTATTTGGCGCAATACAACTCGTGCGTAAAACACGATTGCTTTTGCTTTCCATATTGCGCACAGAGGAGTTCGTTTTTTTCGTGATTGTACCAGTTTAATAACATTTAAAGTAAAAAAAGAATCAAGTTATGGAGCAAATCGACTCTTGTACGTTTTCAGTATGATAATATTTGTACTTCAAAGCGTACCTGGTCCGATAAAGGCAGGGTGGAGAATGCGGGAACACTCTTTGCCCACTTGATGCTCATGAAGAGGAGGCGCGCTGCTGACTCACACACAGACTCTGTCGCCACTTCGTAGAGGTACATGGGGGTGCCACTGACTTCATGGGGGTACTGCAGGCAGAAATAATCATCACTATATGTATCAGTGTATGTCATAATGAAACACAGTTCACAGAATGGTAACAAGCAAAGGTCAAATTCCAAGCCCCAGCACCTGGTTTTAAAATGATTAGTGTTGCTTGTGGTGGATTTACAGTGAGAAATCTGATAGGCGGAGTTGAGGCTCTTACTGGGCTAAATCGGGGCAAGAATTTCAACTTCTAACCCTAAAGGAGAAAAACTGTAATCCTATAATAACATTTTGGAAGGCTGTAATACAGATATCAACGGAATATCAGTAACTGTTAGATGAATTGTGGCCTATATTCAGATTAATCTAGATTACAAAATAAATACATGAAATGCTGTAAATGTCAAAATCTAAGGAATAATAAAGCTAATAATAATAAAGCTTTATTTATATAGCACCTTTCATACAGCACGTGAAGCTCAAAGTGCTTTACAAAATGGCCCACATCACAATAAAGCACGGATTGATCAGTGAACTCATGACATCAATACTCAATCAAGTACGACTGGTCGCTATTATATCCTAAAGATAAAATAATAATAACAATACAAAATAAGTATTGTTTCCCAAAGTATACCTTCGGAGTGGGTTGTGCCAGACCCACCAGGGCCTGTCTCTCCGGTGTGTTTGCTGCGCTCATATCCAGGTTGTGAGGATCCAGTTGCGTGACCGTGGTAAAGAAGGGAGGGCCAGACAGAGAGGATCCCGGGAAATGGGTCGATCCGTTCACCTCTTTGTGCCCCCGGAAATATAGGGCGACCTGTTTGCGGATGGTAGACGTCCGGGGCCCCCTCTCGTGTTGAACGGCTGTGAAACGGGACAGTAGGGACACACAGTGAAGGAATGATCTCTGCACAAGTGAGAGGCTAATTATCTCATTTGTTTATTAGTAACTGCACATAATAGTGTATTGTATTTAAGTCTTTAAGCATTCGTAAAATTAAGAAGTTAATGTGCACATTTTATTTGTGTAAAATAAAAAATAAATTGGTAATCTAAGTGTCCCACAGAGATAAAATAACAACCCCTTTAAAGTCACTGCAGTGCAGGTAATCATCAACCTGTTACTTCTTTTCAGCCTTAATTAACAGCCTTAAAACACGTTTCCAAACTCCAACCCAAACGCCACTGCATAGCGTGTCTATGGCCAAAGTGATAATTAAATTAAGCCCATTTACCGTCTTTATTCATGTTCACATCGAGACACTTTTTCAACCGGCACGCTCTGCACTGGTTTCTGTGAGTTTTGTCCACGGGACAGCCACCCTGTACAAAAAAAGAGAGAGGGGGAGAGAAAGGGGGCAAGAGAGTTAGAGAGTTCCGTTTTATTTCTATCATCTTTCACGACTAAATGCTTCTTGCTATTATCTTCCTGGGAGGCCAATTTCCAGGTGAAAGATCGTGCTATTATCGTGTCGTTATCGACCTGCTCCCCTGCGGCTCCAGTGCGGCCTCACCCGGAGGATAAGTAATCTATCCCGCCCTCTGCTGCCTAAATCCTCGCTTTCGAGTCATCACATTAGATTGGATTACACCTGGTATATTATAGCAGCGCGGTGTTTAGCCCAATACTTAATGGTCCAGGCATGACACAATTAGGCTCATCAAGGGAGACTTAACACAGCGCCAGAAGGGAAAAGCAGATAGGATCTGCGCGTAAAATGTGCAAACCATGCGTAAAGCTTGTAATCGTTTTATGAGGAGGACTAGGGACGTCGTGTCACTTATAACATTGATAATACTAATCTCTCTTGTCACAAGTGCAGTAACTGTATCTTGCTAATAAGTAATTACTGAGAGAACGTGACTGAATATGTATCCCAAATCACGACATACTTCTGTATCTCCAACTTGTTTGATTCTCCCCAAAAATGTTGCACAAACAACACAATCAAATATTGCTTATTTATGGAGCTTGCACTTTTCCACAGGCCTATGTAAAAATTAGGACTAGAGGAGCATGTGCTTGATAAAGGTTATACTTAAAAAGAAAAAAGAAAAGTAGGAGACCTCACCTGAGAGCCAGATTTACAGACGTATGTCCTGTTTCTGCGGATGCTCCTCTTGAAGAATCCCGAGCAGCCGTCACAGGCGTAAACACCGTAGTGTTTCCCTGAGCTGCGGTCACCACACACTTTGCATGGGATGTCCAGTATTCGACCTGAGAAAGGCCCACAATTCTGTTAGACACCATTCACTAAATTGTCCCACATTTCAATTTAAATTAATACATTGAGCATTGAAAATCATAATAATTGCAATTTGTTATCGTCAATATATAACATCTGGATGAGTTGCAACAACAAAAGTTACACAAAACTTTTGTAGTTCAGTGAAATTAGTTCCGTAGAGCTGTCAGGATAGATGCTTAAATTGCCATTGTTAACATACAGTATAACCAATCGGTCGTTTTACACAGTGGAGCAATGGGAAAAGCACCCTACAAATGACTTGTTTTTGTCCGAGAACACGCGCACACACACACACACACACACACACACACACACACACACACACACACACACACAAACACACACACACTGGACATTGCCTCGTCCGAGCATGGGAATTCACGGCGTACATTTCAAGAATAAAGTCCGGTGGGAAGCGTCATATCTGAGCTCTCTAAGACAATGGCCTGAGGGGGCACAATGGAGACATTAGGGGAAAGTGTTAACTTAATGATTTTCCCCCATTGAACCTCGTCTGACTGCCTGGATCTCGACAAGCTGCCAACTCCCCTTCATAATGGGACTCGACAGCTGCTTTATCCCGCAGGTCTATAGGCCCCAGGATTAGGGAGTGACACTGCACCATGAGAATAATGCGCACCAACTCGTTTCACCAACTCAAATGAAGTGTATGTAAATCGACCCCGGTGTAGATGAAAAAATGTGATTTTTTTTTGTGTGAAGATTTTGTATTCAAATCTATTAAAAAGAAGTATATTTGTATGCATATGAGGGAGCCTTTTTTTATTCTGGAGGGAAAGCCGTCTATGTAATTACACTGACGTTTTGCCACCTGCTCATTGATTCACCAGTGACCCGTCAAAAAGGGTAGCATGGGAATAACTACTGAGCTGCAAAAACAATGACTTCAGGAGGAGAGTTATAGGGCTTCAATTGCCAGATTATGGAGAATCAGAAGGCCATGTAGGCTATTTAACTGCTGGCCACAGCCGTGTAATTGCCGTAAAATAGAGAGAGGCTACTTTTTATGTAGCATTTATGCCTGGGAAGGGTTTCTATAGAGTTGGCCTGTTGAAAGTCATCTCATCATGGGAGTAATTTCAGAAAATCAACCTGCACTATAATAAATTATGTCTACATTTGTCTGTAGGCCTAGTAGACTCTCGATTTTCAAATTGAAAAAATTGAAATGTTGACTGTACTTATTGGAGTCAATTACTTATTAACAGATCATTAAAATATCCAAATCCTATGCAACTCGTTAGTTAGTTTGCACACTCCTAAAATAAAAGTTTAAAGCGTACATATTTACGAAGGAAATTTGGCGAAATTCCGAGCCCAACAAAATATAAAACTAGTTTGAAGAGAGTCAATTAAATAAAATAACGCACAATTTTGTTGTGAATTGGGGAAATGTATTTAACTTCCCGCTGTGGGAGTCCAGTTCGTCTCCATTGTGTGCAGTAATTGCTTGAAGATTTATGGCATATTCTATTAACGTAGAAGAAAACCTGCTAAAAGAAGTGGAAATAAACTTTTACTGAGTGCAGGACATACTGACCACCCATAATGTGAGTATGAACTTGAATGACAGTATTTGTAATGTTGGATTTTCCTTGTTTTGTTGTAATTTAAAATGTAATGGTTATTATTAGCAAATTAAACATTTAAGCATCTAAGGATTAAAAAGCAAAATCAGCAGTTTTGCTTGAATATTACATGTGGACAAGGACGCGATACTGGAAGAGACAGGCAAATGTTAAAATAATATAAATTGCTTTCTTTTAGAAGAAATAATAGTATAGATGTCTGTATTATTATTGAGGTTTAATTTGGATTCATTAAAAATCCAGGAGACCTAACAGAAATACAAATGCAAAGGTTAATGTTCTTGTAATAAACCTTTAACCATCTAAAATCTTACAAGAAAAATACTAAATTGTATTTAATATACCGAAGACATTCAGGATTTATATATAAATGAAGTTTTAAATGATTGTTGTTTTTGTTTAGTATAGGCTACAGAAAAGCGCGGACGCAGACCTAAACACAGATAAGCGTTATTTATTTATTTGTTTAAAACAGCAACGCAGTAAAATAAATAAATCTCTTATAAAAGTATTATCATATGTTCATTAAATATCTTTCTGTTTTTTGCATTATTACTCTTTTATAGTAGTTACTGACAGTGAAATTACAGGCAACAAGTGGCAGCACGTTAGAGGAATATTAGGAGCATGCCTAGAGTTTAATATTTTCTTTTGAAAACGTGATCAACTTTACAAAAACTATATATTTTGAAAATATGTCAGACTGATGCCGCTTTAATTATCGCTCATGCAAAACAGTGTATACTCTGAAGATTTCCCACGGAACTCCACTCACATTTCACTACGATCACAATGAATGAACTGACTGAATTATTGCAGTGAATCCCTGATAACATAACCGTGCAGCAGCTTCATGTTCATGTTTAACACTCCATGTGAAAGTAAGCCCCATTATAGAGCACTTATTCTAACACACCGGGCTACTCAATATTCTGCACAAGCGTCAGGAACACTTACTTGATTTGACATTCAGAATATCCAGACAGCCACTTGTTGAGCCTGCGGGTTTGCTCATCATGGACACTCGACTTAATAATAAAGTTGAGAATGAAAAATGTCCTCTTTCTCTACTTGTTGTTGCTGCCAAAAACAACTCGTGAAACCGCAGCACTTTCCTGTAAGTCTTTGCCAGCGGCGATGAGATCGGAAAGTCTATGTCCCGAGTTGCCAAACTTGACAGAGTAGATCTCCGGTCGAAGAGCCAGAATTATGACCCACGGTTGAACATTGTTTCGGTCAATTTTTGCCTCTGATACGCAGGGTCCCCCGGACTGCAGCGACCTGTTCACGGCGGCAGCCCTCCAGATCTGCGAGGGAGAGCCGGTGCATAAAGTTGGATTTGGAGAAACGCAGCCTGGAGCACAACACCGGTGTGAAAGCAGAAACAAATCTTGATTTCGGATATTCTGACAGGTAAAAGCTTGTTAAAACCACGACACGATGTGACTTAGTGGTGCGAGTTCCTCGAATAAGCCTCGGTAATATTTATGAGAAGTGTCAGGGGGAGGCTGGAGGCTTGGAGGGTGGAGATCTCCACTTCCTTCATCCACTTGGCTTTCTACTCCAAACTCCAGCCTGACGTCACTGGTGTGTGCGGGAGGGTGTGTGTGTGAGGGATCGTGTGAATGTGTGTGCAAGTGATGGGAAGTGCCTTGCTCATTGATCAAGAGGCATTGCAAACAAAAAACACGTGTTGCACGCATGTTTTCTCCAACATTTAGACTTGTTTCAGTTTAACATGCATTAATTATAGGCTGCACTTTTGACAAAAAAAAACTTAAATGACCCTATCTACCCTATCACTTTTTAATGACCACTAAAATATTTTTTAAATAAATAGAAGACGAATGCAGGCATTACGATAGAGTAACCGAGGTATAAGAGGTTGTTTTATACAGGGGGGGTTATGGGGCTCAGACATTAAAGAGTGTCTGACTCATGCTCCTCATTTCATACACACTTGTGTCTGGTTACACATGCAGTCCTTAAGACTGAACAATAAGTGCGTGGGGCACTGATCAGTCAAGATGTATTGAACATGTGCTTTATTTTCTATCATCAAAAAGAATAAAACAAAATGTTGTTTTATTATTAAGGTTGCAAGTACTAGCTGAGTTTCCTTTCTTAATTGTTTGTATTTAAGTCATTTTGAGCTTCACTGATGTCAGTGTTTTTCAACCTGTTGCACGTGTTTTAACTAGCCTGTTTTTTGGCTCATTTACAAGTGTCCATTCAAAGACTGGCCATTGATTGACGTGTACAATCTGAGGTAAGAGCTCGTTAGTAGGACTTTAATATACAGACATGCTTTTTTGCATGAAAGACACCTTTTAAAAAAACAAAAACAATCCATTCATAAAACCAAGTGACTTCCACTCTCACCCCTGCATTTTAAACGTTATGGCTTATAAGAAAGACAAAACATAAAATATACAAATACAAGAAATACAAATATTGAAATACTCTTCTCTTTAGAAGTGGTGATAACAAAAACAATGTTTTTATTCGCTTAAAGTGTAGTTTCAAATTAGTGTACATTTTTGTATACACATTCATAAACACTTTACATCTGCACTGCCCTGAACACTTTGATGTGAGATATATGTTTTAATCTTAGTTTTATAGAAACAATTTTTATAACACTACTACCTTATTGTTACACTCTCTAATGTTGTTCTTCCATTTGACTTCTCTTCTGCAGTAACAACCGACCTGCACTGTTTTTCTTCACACGTTTTCTCATTTTAAAACAAACACAAGTAAAAAAACATCAAATCTTGTGCAGAACTTCCCCTTTTATAATCAACAATCCTAATACAAATAACAGTAATAATTCGATTTTTACTCATTTTAATCTGTGTTGGCTTAATGGCTTTAAATTAATTACCTAATCCACTAACTGTCTCTAACTGGTGGGTAAACGGGCTAAATGTGCATCACCCGTGCCCGGCTGTCCGGAGGCTGCACGGCCTCGCGCACTGACACCCTGACCTTGACAGCTTGCTGCGTTTTCGCCGGGTAACTCCAGAAATCCATATTCTGTTTTTAATTGTGTTCATTCCCACGGTACACTAAAGGCCATATGGACTCACAAAGTGTCGATTTAAGCGGACAGGGGCGAGGCGGAGAGGCGTAGTTAATTGCAATCAGCCATTGTTGTTTCTTTCAACCTTTAGCTGCAGCAGCCGAGGCTGGAGACTAACAAGCCTGAGGAGAAATCTCTATAATATTCCTTTGATTTTCCTGCAGGCACACCGAAAGCCACATGTTGTGTTTTTTACTTCCTATAAAAAGTCCACACAATAAAGGCTACAATACACCTTATTAGGCACTATTTTCCAGACCATTTTTCAAAAAGGATTACAAATCATTTGAAAAGACCACGTGTTTCCTTGGTGATTTAATAACGAAATGAAACACTTCACCTACTAATAAACAATTACCGTGTGCTCAATTAAAGACTGGGAAACATGTTTCCAGTATGACGGATCAATAACATTTTCAGTTATATTTAAGTGTGTGCGCATGTGTGTGGTGGGTGGCTGCCGGGGTGGGGTGAATAGTGAATGTGTGACATAATCTCCTTAACTCGTCCTAATCCTCCTCATTCACTGATAGCCTTTACACAAATATAACCAACATCATGGTTGCCGGGGTTGCCTTCTTTCACTTTTTTTGTATTAGTGACTCTCTTCTGCTCCGACAGTCAATGAAATGACGCTAACAAAGGGACCAGTGGATTGTGTATCTGTTTTTTCGGGAGCTCAGCATCAGTATGCGGATACTTGACATACTATAGGAGAGATTTAAACAACGAGAAAACGAGTGAGAGTCCAATAGAAGTCAACACAACACAATACGTCTGCTCTGAATGTGTTGAAACCCTTTATGGTTTTTGGACAATGAGAAAACACCCTTTCTCTTAAAGCCCTATGCTGTAAATAGCATGCTGTTCTAGGCATACTTTACACACCTGTTAATATATATTTTTTCCAGCTCAGCATTGCCTTTTAATTGTGTGAAACTATATTATAACAACACTCTTCCTATGCAGTAAAGGTGATTAAAATCTCAGGTTTTTATATTTACAGTTTATATTCTGAATGCCATTCCTATAGACAGTCACTGCCTGCAGGCCAGAGTTTGGCCATCTTTTTATGCCCTGCTATCACTGTGCAGGCCCCTGACCGACCAGCCGTGAACCAATTGGCTTTAGGGAGAAGTCACAAAGCTCCAGAGAGCAAATAATGGGGCGAATTCAAGCCGGGTAAAGATCCACGCAGCCAAGCATCCCTTAAAACTGACCAGGCAGATCATCTTAAAGCCTGCAGACACTGCTGGTGTTTAGCTCAGGAGATGATTATCTTAACTGAGATTCATTCTCTTAGCTCAGCTCAGTTATGATGACAGATAGCCAGAGAGTGTGCCATGCAGGCTTATTTAGCAGAAATAACAGTAAAATATCTCCTACATGTTTTAATTATTTGATGGCTTGAAAATTAATTTACAAAAAACTTCCAGATAAGTAAAACATTATGCAGCCTGATTTCAGCACCATGGACAGTTCTTCAACAGGAGTCATTAATGATGCATTTACCTGTCCGGATGCCTTTTCAACATTTAAAGGGGCCTTACTTCTTGATTTACAAGTGATCACAAATATATTTAGAGATGATGTGGTTCAACTTGATTAATTCGACATGAGTGACAATGTAAAGTAGTTAATTAACCCATCTTTACTTTATGCTGTCAGTGTTTCAGACCTGGGTGGGATCTTGACTTGAGTCCCTTAATCCAGTAATTGCTCTGATCCTGACAATCAGACAGAGCAGGGAATTCAGCCAATCAGGATCCAGTATTGTGACTGCTCTCCCATGAGACCTACTAAGCATTTAACTTTAAACATCAAAGTGATCATTGTAGAAGCTTGTATTTGCAAGCCAGATCCCAACAATGCAATGATGTTTTTCTACAAGGGAACCAGTATAAAGACAAGGCCTTCACGTGGAAATATATCTGGAAAACATTAACAGCCTGTTCTGTTTTCATGATGTATTTTAATAGTCTTAATCTTTGTTTTATTTGATGAACTTAAGACTCAGCGGAGAGCAGTACTGCCTTTGTGGATTCACCTTGACTCACAAAGTAAGCAGACTTAAACATTTTTGGATCTAAAATGTAAGGATTTCTTTCTGATTTATTCTTATTTTTTTAGGGGTTTGGGCAAAAATAATTGGATACAACAAGCATAGGTGTCGCTTTTGTCTCAGAGCTCTTCTAAATCTTTTCTGAATTGTTATAAACCCAAAAATAACTCAACTACTCCAGAAAAATAACATCAGATTAATATACAACACAAATTATTAATAATCCACAAAGCATGACTAATAATAATCTAAAGATATTATATATTATCCACATCATAAATATCAAACATAAGTAAACTGGATGTGCTACTTTCAGTACTGCCCTGAACTGACACACTTGTTTTTTTAATAGTGATTTTATTATTTTTACCTAAATGAAGGATATAAATAATTTCACTGCTGGTGGCCCCAGTGTTTAATGTGTCACAATGTCAGTGTTGCATGAGAGGAGTTTACTCATCAAGCGTCAGATGTTCTTAGTAATTACAGTGAACCCAGTGAGGTGACTCCAGTCCCACCATCTCTCCCACTAATCTGCACCCAGACACACCTCTGCACGCGGACATGCATACTCGTGCACACTCACACACACGCCTCACCGTGCGAGAGCCCTCCCAAAAAAAAAAAAAAAAACAGAACCCAAACCCAGAAACCCACAAGTCGGTGCGGTGCAGTTGGACGCTCTGACAAATCTATTTGGGGCAAATTGTCAGTGAGAAACTTCCGCTCGAACTGCCGTGGACAAAACTGGCTGTTGGGGAGAGCAAATCCCGCTGCATGAGGGTGGGGGACAATGGGGGGCGAATGTGTTGATGTGCGGCCGGTGGCTGGGGAGGGACAATGGACGGATTAGTCAGTCCTCTGGCTGACT